GTGGTTCTATGCTGTATTGTTTTTTCCTGTTTTTTATAAAAGTTTAAAAACAAGGGAAATTCATTTTGCAAAGAACTATTTGAGGATTCAGAAAGTGCAAAAAAAACAAAACTTAATGTCTTGCTTTGAGTATAGTTATGAGACAGATAATGTATAGTAATACAACTTTATAATATAAGATATGTAATCTTATGACTGCTTTGAGGATCCGTCTTTTTATAAACAAAAATATCTAAAATACGTTTAATTTAAAAAGAGAAAATTTTATAGGCTTCATAGATACTGCTTCGATTTTAAGTTGACCTAAAAGGTACTCAAGATGTTTCAAAAGATAACAATACTTTGGGTGTGCATAAGATGTATTACATAGAAAACAAAATAAAGGCGTTTTTTTGGGGGATTTATACGCATTTTTAAATAATCACTTTGCAGAAGAAATTTCAATTTAGTGGCGGATCTACTTTTTTTTATGTTTTAGATACTAACTTCTAAACATAAAAGTACACAAGTATAAATATATTTTGACATTCTTATTTTGACACATATAAATATTTGGAGTAAACATATAAATATTTGGAGTAAACTCCAAATATTTATATGTTTATACTTGTGTCAAAATAAGAACGCTTTATATCGGAATAATTGGAGCTTGGGAACAAAAAGACCAAACTTTTTGTCCCCTAAAGATAATGTCTCAAGTAGTAACTCTATCTACCTTTAAAATTACTACATTCATACTTTATTGCTTATTTTTTACAAAACAGAGGAAAAATAAACAAATAAAACAAAAGTTATGCGTAGTATATTTTAAAACAAACTCTTTATTGGTATTAGTCCTAAACTAGCAAATAAAGATTCTTTATTTAATGATTTTTAAATCATTTTGATTATAGCACCCGTGTTGAAGTGGTATAAGTTTTCTTATATTCTCAATTCATTTACTTCATGCTCTACTGCCTCGGAGGATACGCTTTTTTAGGCAAAGGCTAGGAGAAGCCAACTCCAACTTAAAACTCACCATACCATAGAGCTCTTGGTTAAGTAAAAGCTGGAGATGGTGTATCAATAAAAAATACTCATCTTGGCTGTTAAACGCATCCAGCTACTGCCTTGTAGAAATCCTCCTAGTCAAAACCTAAAGGAGTAAACAGATTCTATCTGTTGACCAGCCTCGCACCCCTTCTTCATATATTAGGCTGGCGCAGATGTATTTATAATACATTGTTTCCGGTTTAGGATGTTAAATGATGGATTTTTTTGACTCAATGCATGCGTTTTGCTTGCGTCTCTGTTATAACTAGGCAACTCATTCTATTATCTCATAATGAGAGTAAAGCTCTAAAACTCAGTTTTATGGTTCTGAGGCCGGCTGGTATTCAGGTTTCCCAAACTCTGTGGTAACTTTGATATAGGCTGATTCCATCAACAGCTGTAAAATTTGTCGGGAACCTATGTTTGAATTCTCCTACTACTCTTTTATGTGACTTCGTTTTACATCACTTAACTCTTTTTCTTTGCTTTATATTGCTCTCTTTCATCTCAAAGCTGCACTTTTTTTGATATTATTTCTGGTCAAATTGACCGAGCCCTGTCTATCTATCTATTTACCAATATGTCTTGTTTTTGATCCTATTCAGTGCTCAGTTTCTCTAAATTTATCCTTAGGTACTTCTGATCACGTTTTGATTTCTCTAAAACTATTATCTCATTCTTTTCTTCATCAAAATCCCCCTATTAATGTACGTCTTACAACTACCTTAAAGCTGACTAAGACTCTTTCCGTGATTTTCTTTGTGATGGCCCTTGAGTAGAAATTTTTTATCTTCCTGCTGACAAATGCAATTCTTACAAAACATCATTGATTCAGGCTAGAGTGGAATCTTTTATTCCCTCTCGACAATTCCAAGTCAAGCCTCACTCTTCTCTTTTTTTCCAATTAAAACCATTACTCCCATATCTATCAGCAAAAAAATTCTCCAGAAAACAGACATCTGTATAATACTGCTAGAAACCAATGAAAGAAGTTTTTTTTTAACGCTAAAGCCTGCTATTCTGAGGTCATAAAATTGCCATCTAACAGATTAATCTATTTCTTAAAATTCGTATCACTCCAGTTTCTGCGTCTAAAGCGATTTCCTTCTTAGACTCTTCTATAGCTTCTGGTCCGGACAACATATCTATTATAGTCTTGCATTAGTGCTCTCAAGAGCTTTCGTCTATACTTTCAAAACTATTAAACAAGTGCTCATCAGAGTATTGTTTTTCAGCATGCTGAAACTCATTAGTAATGTCAAGACTATTGCTCTAAACATTTCTAAAGCTTTTGATAAAGTTTGGCATGCTGGTTTTCTCCATAACCCAGTGGGCATTTCGACGTCGAACGAACGTCGAGCGACGTCGGATCTCGACGTCGGATCGACGTTGGGTTTACGTCACTTAACTCTTTTTCTTTGCTTTATATTGCTCTCTTTCATCGTAGGGGTAGTGCCAGCATTTTTGGGTTGTTATTTTTGGAAATGTTATTTGACGTCGGATAAACTGACATCGCGCGACGTCGGCATTCCGATGTAAATCCAACGTGTTTTTTGAACACAAAAAAACGTTGCCTTTGGCAGGAATTGAACCTCGGTCTATTACAGACTAAGTCCTACGCGCTTACCACTACACCACAGGGACATATCAATTAATGTGATATTTAGTAATTTATACTTTTAGCTATTTGGGAATTATTACTTTGATAAGAAATAATTTTGTTTAAATATTAAATAAATATTAAAACGAATAGTTATATATTATAAAAAATGCATACTCGAAAATGTTAATAGTTAAAAAACTATGCTAGTGCATCATACAAAACCTCATGATGTTTTATCAACCATTTTTCAAACTTCTTTCCATTAATAAAAAACACGCTTAGATCACATATTTATTGAAAAGCGCAATTGCACACATATTGTTGGGTTTGGATTAAATTTTCATCAGCGATGTCTTACGACGTTGTTCCGATGTCGTTTTAAGGACGTTAGATTGACGTCGGAGTACGTTAATATTATGACGTTGCCCGACATCTTTTTATCGACGTTGAATCGATGTCAGTACTGCGACGTTTTTTGGACGTCTTTTATAAGATGTCGGAACAACGTCAAAATACATCGAAACGACGTCAGGGGATGTTGAGATAAAGACATCGCCCGACGTCATTTTACTGACATCGGAACAACGTCGGAATAGGTCTTTTGACATCGCTGATGAAAATCGTACGTAAATCCGACGTCGGATTGACGTCGGGTGCCCACTGGGAAGCTTTCTTTTTACAATGTATCAGATAACATCTTTAAGATGATTGAATCCTTTCTATCTTAGTATAAAAGTTATTCTCGATGGACAACACTCTTCTTCATATCCTGAAGAAGAGTGTTGTCCGGGAAATATTCTATTCCCGGTAATAAATCCTTTTCTTAAACAATAAATAAATCCTTTTCTTTATTTTAAATTTGTATATATATGCGAAATTTTTATGCATTAGGGTTAAGTGATTTAAAAATTTTTTTGATTCCTCTTTGGATTCTAAATTCTCGAAGGGTCTTAATATTGTTGAAATTTTATTTAAAAGAAGCATAATAATATGCCGATTTTGAAAATCATATTTGTTTTTATCTAAAAATAAAGAAATAAAATATAGTCAGTTTTTTATATAAAAACCTCCGTTTTTAACGAAATTGAGGTTTTAGGTATATTTTTGTAAATATTTTTTTTTGCGAAAATTTTTTATTTAATAAAATTATTATTTATAAAACATGCATTTTTTACTTCAGCTATATAGCTTCCATGAATTTTAGCAGTTCCAGATTAATAAATAACTTATTGGAATGAATATTATTATTCAAATATCTTTGATTGCGTACCTGAAAGTTAGATATCTCAACAGTTGTTATATTTATTATATACTTATTTTTAGTGTTATGATTGTAAAAGAAAACAAATATCTTATCGCTAATGTTGTTGTTCTTGTTTTTGATGTCGATAATGATTTTTTACCATGTCTTGCTAGCTTCAGGGCTGACGACATGGGTTGCAAGTGTGTGTGCGCGTGTTTGTGTGTTGGGTAGGGGGATGGGGAGAAAGAAGGGGGAGAGGGCACATTTGTCAAGTTTTTAAAAAAGTGAAATATATCCTGAAATTTTTACCTGAAATATATCCTTTAAAATTCTATATAAAAAAAAGAAGATATTTTGGCGTTGGCTGTGAATTTGCATTATGTATAAATTATGTATATAAATTTGTATCTATATTTGTATCTAACCTGATTTTCGATAAGGGGTCGTCCATAAATTACGTCACGCAAGTTTTGACCAATTTTGACCTCCCCCCCTCGTCACAAAATTGTAATACTTAAGAATAAAGTTTTGTATGAGTCGTCACAAAACCACCAACCCCTCCCCCCCCCCCCTATAGCGTGACGTAATTTATGGACGAGCCTTAACCGTGTATTTACGCATTCGAAAATCGTATATTTACTTATTTTTCCTCACTAAATCAAAACAATTTAAAGGGCAAAATAAAGTTAAAAAAAAAAACAAGACAAAAAAATCTTTTTATATATATATATATATTATATATATATATATATATATATATATATATATATATATATATATATATATATATATATATATATATATATATATATATTTTTTTTTTTTTTTTTTTTAAATTATAAAAATCATTTAATACAATTTATGTTTTAATATAACTTTCAAGTCAAAAAATATTCAACCTAAATGTTATTTTCTATACTTCGCTTAAATATTCAAGAAAATCTTGAAAATAATTCAGTGGAATTTCTAAAAATGAAGCTTCAAAATAAACAAAGTTAAAATTGGAACAAAAAGTTAAGGAGTGTGTGTATTTGTGTGTGTGTATGTGTGTGTGTGTGTGTGTGTGTGTGTGTGTGTGTGTGTGTGTGTGTGTGTGTGTTTGTGCGTTTATTTACAATCACATTTTTAATATAAAGCTTGATACAGTAGGCATTAAATAAACAAGGTAATGATATGGTGGCAGAAGGTGATACTCCATCAGTTACTGGTATTTCACCTGCTGAAGGTCCTCCTGGTACAATTGTCAAGATAAGAGGAGAGAATCTTGGCATAAATGCAAAAGATGTTATTGGTAAATATATTATTTGAACATGGTAGCTGCACTACTAACATAATATAACCATAAATATATTTTATTCTTTTAAATATTTTTATAACAATATTTTTATAGCAGAACATTAAATATTGTTGATTGCATAATTAAAATATATTAGTTTTTATCATAATCTTTTTTATGCATCTGTATTATCTTTTTTTGTATGAGTATTTCAAGTTCTTATATATATATATATATATATATATATATATATATATATATATATATATATATATATATATATATATATATATATATATATATATATATATATTTATATATATATATATATATATATACAACCCTTGGAATTAGAAAACATGAGGTCGGCAATAATTCTCTGTCCTCAATCTTTTATTGGTCAGCATCTGGTCAGCAAAAAAAATTTGATACAAAGGTTTTACCCTAAAACATTAAAATAAGGTCGCCAATTTTTTTGCCAATCTCAAATACTTTAAGGTTAGCTAGGTCAGCATTGCCAAATGCCAACCTAAATATCAGGGCTATATATATATATATATATATATATATATATATATATATATATATATATATATATATATATATATATATATATATATATATATATATATATATATATATATATATATATATATATATATATATATATATATATATATATATATATATATATATATGTATATATATATATATATATATATATATACATATATATATATATACATATACATATATATATATATATATATATATATATATATATATATATATATATATATATATATATATATATTATATATATATATAAAAACACATACTGAACACATACGGAAAAAAACACATACTGAAACTTTTTAGTCCCTGTGTAATAAGGTTAACTATATTATAACTAATATATTATGGTTAATGCAAAAGAATTCAAAGACGCTCTGGATGCACTGGAGAGTAAACTAAGAATTGAATATGAATCAAAGATTAGTAATGCTGTAGCAGATTTGAAAAAAACAATACAATCATTAGTATTAACAGTTGCTGATTTAACTAAAAAGAATGAAGATTTAAACAACAAAGTTGTAAATGTTATTGTTCCTGCTCCGAATGAAGCTTGGAATATTGTAACAGGTAGAAAATTAAATAAAACTCAATCTCAGATTGATATTATTAATACAGTTTCGAATGAAAATAAAGAAATCGAACGAAGAGAGAAGAACGTAATTATTTTTGGTTTAAAAGAATCCAATAAAACTGATGGCGCAGATATAAAGAAAGATGACGAAAACAAAGTATTAGATTTATTGGATCAAGTATCAATAGATAAACTTCATATGGTTCGTATTTTTAGATTAAAATCTAAAAATGGTATTGCACCAGTAATTGTCGAGTTAAGAAATAAGGACATGAGAAATGACTTTATAAAAAAATCATATCGTAAGTTTAATGGTATTTATGTAAATCCTGATTTAACTGATGCTCAGAGAAACTTGGATAAACAACTCAGGGATAAATGTAGAGAATTAAATAAACCACTTAACCTAAAAGTCGATTGGGACCAAGTTAAAAGCTATCACGTAATTAGAAATAAACAAGTAGTGTTGATAAACAAATAGCAATTGTTGTTCAAGTCATCACAGTATAACACACATAATTTTAAACATTCTTTACATACACCTTGTCAATATATATATAACCAATTAAATAACCCTGATGCAGACACTGGAGGAAGTAATCATTTGAACTCAAGTGCTAATACACTGCTGGTAAAGAAAATGAATCAAGACCTTCAAAAAGGTTTAAAAACAGAAAATATCGATTATTTAACATGTTGGTATACAAATGCGACCTCTTTAAATAATAAATTTGACGAATTCATTGATGATATATCCAGATCTAAGGCTCAAGTTATATTTGCTTGTGAGACTTGGTGGTCAGCAATGTCTACTACTAATATTCCTGGTTATAATCTGTTTAGAAAAGATCGTCAATTTAGTCGTGGTGGTGGTGTATGTATTTATATACAAGAGAATATTAAATCTTATGAAATAAATGAAAAATATCTAATAAATGAAAATATTGAGCAAGTATGGTGTTTGATTGAAATTGGCAAAGAGCAAATCTTATGTGGTTGTATGTACCGGACAGGCCTTAGTAATAGTGAAAAGTGTATTGACATTATAAAATCATTAAAACAAGCATATGTACTCAAAAAAAATAACAAATGCTCTGGTATTTTAATATGTGGTGACTTTAACTATGCAAACATCAAGTGGAACGATGAAAGTTTTAGTGAAGTTATAAATGACAGTGACACAACAGCAAGTATGTTTATTGAGTTGTTACATGACTGTTACCTGCACCAAAATGTTATCAGTCCTAGTTTTCAAGTAAAGTTTGGTATTGATACTAACATTTTAGACCTCATTTTGACTGACAATAGCAACAGAGTTTATTTTCTTGAACATTTTCCACCATTAGGTGGTATCGATCATGGTCATCATATTTTGAAATTTCGATTTGGTTATGAAAATAAACCTAATTTATTAATATCACTACAAACGAGGAAGAAAAAATTTTTGTGGAAAAATGGAAACTATAAAGCGTTAGATTTGTATTTTAATAACATAAACTGGATAAATGAATTTGAAGGACTAAGTGTTAATGAATGTTACGAAAAATGGCTAAGAAAATATGAAATAGGATGTGAAAAATATATCCCAACGCTAAATTTAGATAAAAACTCTTTTCAACTAAAAAATAACTCACTATGGATGACAACTGAACTTAAAAGCATGTGTAAAGAAAAGAAAAAATGTTGGTTTAGAAACAGAAGTTCAGGTTTTAAAAGTCTTTTAGAAGTCAATAAGTATAAAAAATTAAATAAAGATATAAAAAAACTTGTCAAGAAAAGTATTCGCAATTTTGAAAAAAACTTGGCACTTAATTCAAAAAGCAATCCTAAAAGTGTCTATGCTTATATAAACAACAAAACAAGATTTAAAGACTCGATCAAAGCCATAAAGCTACATAATGGTATTATAACTACTGATAATCAAGAGATAGTAAACACTCTTAATGAATTCTTTGCTTCTGTGTTTATACAAGATGACTCACCAGAAGAAGTTTTAGATGACAATCTTTTAACAAAATGTTCTGATCCAGATTTTAGTATTTCTCTTATTCGGAAACATTTGAGTAATTTAAACATGTACAAATCAGTAGGTCCAGATAATGTTCACCCAAAAGTTTTAAAGGAATGTTCAGAATCTTTGTCAAGTTCTTTAGCAATAATATTTGTTAAATCGTTTATTACAGGATCTATTCCAAAGTTATGGTCATGTGCAAACGTTGTTCCGTTATTTAAAAAAGGAAATAAACTAGATCCAACAAATTATAGACCGGTTTCATTAACATCAATTGTTGGTAAAGTTATGGAGAGAATTATTAAAGATCATATGATGGTGTTTCTCATTGAAAACAATTTAATTTCTAAAGAGCAACATGGTTTTGTTAATAACAAAAGTTGTATAACAAACCTGTTAGAAACATTAGATTTAATCACGCAAGCGTATGAAGAGGATATTTCTGTTGATGTTTTATTTTTGGATTTTAAAAAAGCATTTGATTCAGTCTCTCACACGAAATTACTGAAAAAATTATTCAGACTAGGATTTGTATCATCTTTGTTAAATTGGTGTAAATCATTTTTGTCAGGCCGAACACAGAGAGTTGTAATAGGGGAATATATTTCAAGTTGGAAGATGGTTACTAGTGGAGTACCACAAGGTTCAGTACTCGGACCTCTTTTGTTTGTAATCTTCATTAATGACTTATGTAGAGGGATTATTAAAGACACTAAATTATATGCAGACGATACCAAAGTTATTTCAATCAATCATTGTTATGATGATAATAAAATATTACAAGAGGATATTAACAGGTTAGTTAAATGGTCTGAAGATTGGTTAATTACATTTAATGAATCAAAATGTAAAGTCATGTATATTGGCAAAAAGAATCCAAGATATGAATATAAATTGAACAACTCTGTTTTAACAGAAACAATGATAGAAAATGATCTTGGGATTTTCATTTCAAATAATCTAGAGTGGAAATATCATGTTAATTCAGCTATAGGTAAAGCAAACAGAAAATTAGGCATGATCAAAAACTCTTTTGAGTATTTGGATGAACTTTCATTAAAGTTACTATACAAATCGTTAGTACGTCCCCATTTGGAATATGGAGCAACAGTTTGGAGTCCATTTTGGAAAAAGGACATTGACAATCTTGAAATCGTGCAACACAGGGCTACGAGAATTGAATCTTTAAGGGGGAAGTCGTATGAAGAAAGATTAAAGATACTTGAATTGCCAACTTTGTTTGATAGAAGAAGAAGAGGTGATCTGATTCAAATGTATAAGATCTCAAAAGGAAAAGATATTGTTAATTTTCACCATCCTCCTTTAAATTTTGAGCTGGAGCGATCTAGTAGAAGTAACAATTGTAGAATACGCAGACAATTTACAAAATCAAGAATTCGTCACCATTTCTTTACAAACAGAGTTATAAATGATTGGAATTCTCTTCCACAATGGATATTAGATAAAGATAATTTGAACATTTTTAAAAACAGTATCGATAATTATTTCGGTTTCTGAACACTAATTTTTGTAATCGGCTGTCATAGTCTTAATTCTACGTAATTAAGACTCTACACACCTCAAGTGTGTACAGCACCTTTTCTATTCTATTCTATATATATATATATATATATATATATATATATATATATATATATATATATATATATATATATATATAAAGGAATAATTGTATTGATCATATATTTTTTTAATTTTTAGGGATTTTCATATGCAATATTAACTGCACATATACTGCTGAATGGCAACATTCACGTCTAATACACTGCCGAACTGGGATGGGGATGGGAATAGGTGATATAATTGTTTTTACAAAGTCAGGAGGCAAAGGAACTTGTCTTGTGAAATTCAGAGGATTTATGCCACGAGTTGGTTTGTTAACTGAAGCTGCAGTTTGGGTTGACGAGTCTAAATTGTTTGAAGAAAAGCCTACTACTCTTTCAAATCCTCATGCATATACAACCAACACTGTGCATACAGATCCTTTAGGTGTTGCTCCTGAAGAGACAGGGTATTTTTGTTTTACCATTAGCATTGATTTTAAAAGTGATATTTAGGTTAAATAGTCAATGGGTTCGTTATATGAACATTTGTTTTTATTCACTTGCAAAAAATATTTACTACATATGTGTATTTAAGTATGTTAATATAAAATAATTTATGACAAAAAACAATGTATAATATAAAATAATGTACACAAATGGCATTTGTGAGGGCATTAGTACATGCAATAACTGAGGATTTAAGTTTGTGCTATTCAGCATGTACATTTATGCATCAAAAATATTAGTAATAATACTTGCTTCTTTATCTTCTTTACCTTTTTATTTTTTGTTTGATCTTTTTATAAAAACATAAGATTGGCACTTTAAGTTAAACTTTTAAATCTTTGTACTTTTTCTTTTTTTTATAATCTTTTACTTTTCACTACTTTTACTTTTAAATATATTTTTCTTTCTTTTCAACTTGTTTCTCAGCACAGCGGCTTTGTTCGTCAAGGTTCGTATTTCGGAGTTATAGAGTTGAGAGAGGGTTAAAACCACTATTAAGTAGCCTCCTTGTCTGTAGTGGCCTTCTCGGCCTTGAGGAGGTGAATAACAAATATACATATATATATACATATATATATATATATATATATATATATATATATATATATATATATATATATATATATATATATATATATATATATATATATATATATTAGTGTTTTAATATTTGTTTTTGTATTTTTGTATACACATACATTTATAAAGAACATTTTAAAGTTATGGTATTCTACTACGTATTACACCCACTTAGACACCCACATTTGTGCCAGCAAGCAACAAGACCTTATTGGCATGCATGCAAATACTTTTTTCACTAGTTTTGAGTTCTTGCCAACAAAAGAAGGCATTTTAAAAATAGTATTAAATTTTTTTTTTTTCAATCAAATATTTGATATTTATATATTTGTAGCGTGTGTTTTTGTGCTTAGGAATTTCTGAAGTTTATGACCTGATTACTCATGGTTTGTTAATAGTCAAAAGCATTTGAGCTTTCTCATGAAAAATTAAATTTTTACTATTATGCCTAATTTATTGAAATAGAAGGAACTATGATCATTATTTTCTTAACAATCATTATTTTTTTTAATGATCATTATTTACTTTATTTATTATTTTTTTTACTTAATGATCATTATTTACTTAATGATCATTTTTTTCTTAATGATCATTTTTTTCTTAAAGCATTTTATTTTATAATTGTCATAAAGATCAATCTTTGGAGTTTTTTCAACATTTTTACAAATAATCTTTTTTTAAACACAGTTTTCCAAGGGTGATTATGAAAATCTAAATAGAATTGAATTTTTTAAAATTGTCCACACCACCACTAGCCCAATTATGGGCCTCTGGGCAGCACTTTTTTTGTGTAACTGTACCAATAGAACAAAAGTTCTTCAAATAAAAATACAAATTGATATTTGTATATCAGTTTGTATCACCAAAAAATAGTATTGGATGCACTACTATTTTGAGATGCTGATGGTTTTGCATTAATTTATAATGAAGATGGCTTCCTAATTTTTTTAATTATTGATGATTGGTTAGAATTGGCTATAAAAAACTCCATTAGCATCAAGGAGGAAACACAATGATGACACTGAACACCCTTGACTTTACTCTTTTTTACCCTTGAGCACTTATTTATCTAAACATTTACTTATCTAAATATTTGTACAAAAATAATCTTTCTTATTAGTGACCTTAACATCAAATTAACCTTAGATAACATTATCCATATTCTTTGCATATCCTTGTAAATAAAAGTTTGTAACTTTGACTGCAGCATCATCCTAGAAGTATTATATTCAATTTTTCTTTTTTCAATTTGCTTTTGTATTCAGTTTGCTTCCTGATGAACCTACAGAGGGTGAAATAGGTTGTAGAAGAAAAATTTGATTAGTATATTTACAAGTTTATCTTTGTACTGTTAAGAACATCGAACACTCTATTTGTAGAATACATCAACTTAACTTCTAACTTCATGCACAGACATTAAAAATCATGCACAGGCGTTAAAAATCATGCATTAAAAGCACTGTTTTCAGTATCTCTGTGTGAAATAAATTCTGTAGATGAGGATAACTATTGCGAAAATAAATAAATAAACAGAACTATGAAAAGATGATATTCAGAGAGAAAAAAAATAAAAACTAAAAAGAAAAACAAAAAACTAACAAGAAACACAAGTCAACAACAGTTATAGTGTTTTAGTTATAGCGTTTAGTTAGTAGTAAAATCAGAATAAAAAACAATAATCTCATTGATACAAACTTAAAATAATACAAAATAAAAACAAAAAATTTAAGTGAGTAAAATAAGATTAGTGGTTGCTTGCAGCCTTGTTGGAAGCAAAGAGAATTTAAAATATATATATATATATATATATATATATATATATATATATATATATATATATATATATATATATATATATATATATATATATATATATATATATATATATACAAATAGTATTGCGTACTAAGGTTAGCAATCTGACGTCATACTGAAATAGCCTGCTGCTGGGGGCTTCAGTACATACATCGACTGACAAATAGCCTGACTCGCAGTGGAGTGCTGCTACATCGACTGAGGGTTTGGGATAGGGAAGCAATTGTTTTATTCATCATTCTTCGTTTTTTCTTCTTCTTTTTCGAAAAAAAGAAGAAGAAAAAACAGTAAGGTAAGCAGAAAAAGTGAGCAAATGCTTATCAAAACACGCTTTAGTAAATGTATATATATATATATATATATATATATATATATATATATATATATATATATATATATATATATATATATATATATATATATATATATATATATATATATATATATATATATATATATATATACATATATATATACATATATATATACATATATATATATATATATATATATATATATATATATATATATATATATATATATATATATACATATATATATACATATATATATATATATATATATATATATATATATATATATATATATATATATATATATATATATATATATATATATATATATATATATATATATATATATATATAGATATATATGTATATATATATGTATATATATATATATATATATATGTACTGATATCACTTTTTTTTGGCCGATGCCGATGAATGGGAAAAGGCCGATACCGATGAATTAACTAATTATTAAAAATTTGAAAATATAAAACCATACAACTTTAAATTGGTATTGGTAAACAAATACTTGGACTCAAATCAAAGCCAAATAATTATTTTTAAAAGATATTAGAAAAACTCAGTTAAAAAAATATACATTTTAATTTTTTTCCACTATGAAAAAAAAACTTTCAAAAAAATAAATACAATTTTAGAGAAACACTTTTTATTTTAATTTTAAAAAAAGAAAATATGCATATGCAGTTTACTAAGAATTCTTTATTAATTTATTAGTAACTCAGATATCTAAACAACAATCATATATTGTTTAGACATAAATTATTTTTAGATAAAGAAATTGTTTTTAGAATTATTTTAATTTTTAATGTTGGATCCCCACCACGTCCCTGGTAATACAGCGCTTAACTTGTTTCTACATGCAGCGGCATTGTTCATCAAGGTTTGTGTTTCTGAGTTCTAAAGTTGAAAATGGGTCGTAACCATAGCTAAAGTAGAATCTTCAATTGAAGGGAGGTGAATTGAAATAAAAAAATTATAAATTCAGAAATATACTTGATACTTGGCTATACTTAAATTCATGAAATAAGGCTAAACTATTTGCAAAAAAATTCTCATCTAATCTGCCTTTCGAATCTTATGGCCATTCTCTTCTTTTCATTCTAATTAAACAAGTTAACCTAATGTTAGACATTTGAATCATTTCAGCTTCCATTACTTGTAGTCATATCTCGATTAAACTCTTCTATGGTCCAGACAACATTTTTGTCACAGTCTTACAAAATTGTTCTCCAGAACTCTCTTCAATTTTCTCTAAACTATTTAATAAGTGCTTGACTGAATCTTGTTTTCCTGCCTGCTGGAAAATGGCATCTGTTGTTCTAATTTTTAAACACTCTGGTAAACTTACTGACCCCTCTGATTATTGTCCAATCAGTCTTCTTTCTGTTATTAGCAAGATCTTAGAGTCTTTGATAAACAAATTTCTCACATTCCATCTCGAGTCAAATAGCTTACTGTCAGACAAATAACTATTGTAGTACTGTCGACATTCCTCTATTGATGAATGGCAACCTTCTCACTGATTCCACTTCTTTACATCTTCTTGGATTATCATTTACTACTCACTTTTCATGGAAACCATATATACAATCGATTGCTAAATTAGCATCTGCTAAGGTTGCTTCTTTTTATCATGCTCACCATTTTCTCTCTCCTGATTCCATGCCCTACCTCTACAAATCTCTTATTCGTCCCTGTATGGAATACTGTTATCATATTTGGGCTGGTTCTTCTAATGATGCTCTTTCTCTTCAAAATAAGGTTTAAAAATGTATTGTAAACAGAGTTGGACCCGGTTTATCTGCAAAGCTTGAGCCTCTTTGCCATCATCGTAAAGTTGCATCTCTTTTCATCATTCATCTCTTTTCATCATTCATCTCTTTTCATTATTCATCCTTGCATCTCTTTTCATCATTCTCTTTTCTACAAACATTATCATGGTTGCTGCTCAAAGGAGCTTTCATCTTTAGTTCCATCAATCAAAACTCATTCTTGCTTGACTTGACATTAAAGTCTCATTCTTCGACTGTATCTGTCTCTTCATGCTCCAAAAACGTTTATTTGTCTAGCTTATTTCCACGCACTTCAACCCTTTGGAACTGTGTCCCATCTTCATGTTTTCCTGACTCATACAACCTTCAACTTTTTAAATCTTCTGTCAACCACTTCATTGCTCTATAACTCTACTCTTTTTTTCTAGCAACTCCCAACTTGATAGTGGTTGGTTGAAACCTTATTGGGAGTGAAAAATAATTAAAAATATATAGATAACAATGCTTAAATAGGTTACTTTTAAAGCTTTTGCCTGTAAACAAAGTCAAAATAAAAATTTATCCAAAAAATTCTAAGTAATGCACAAAGTTTAGTTTATTTATTATTTAATTTTTATAATAATGCACAAAAAAATAATGCAGGATAAAAATATCAAAATGCCATCGGTTGGAAAATCGGTAAAAAAGGCCGATGCCGATACCAATACCGATTGTGCAATAGGTATCGGTATCACAATTGGTTTACGGACAGGCAAAAAAAAAAAGAAATTTTAATAATATTTCAGCACATATTTCACGAAAGCCAACATCATATACCAATCAAATATTTTTCAACTTTACAATTATGTTTTGAACAAATAATAATTACCTACTTAACATTTTAAAATTCGTATATAAATCAACAATTTTTGATAAGTTCAAGAGTTTGCGGATAAAGAGTTTTTTTTTTATAAATAGTACAAATTTTTCAACAATATTTGATCACAAGTTTATATAAAAGCAAAATCACTTTATTATTTTGTAGGATATGCTTTACAATCAACAATGGCTTGGCATCTATAAGGCTTGGCATCTATAAGTCAACTAAATAAATGCAAACTTCGATGAAAATTGAGTCCCATATTTCTTTGATTTTATTAAATAAATCAGCATGATTTGTAGACTTGATTCCTTTTATTTAGCGGTCAACATGTTCCGATAGATGTTCAATTGGATTTAATTCATGTGATTGGGATGGCCACTTCAAAACATTAATTTTATTCTTTTTGAAAAACTCTAAAACCAATTTGGCTGCATGTTTGGGATTGTTATTCTGTTCATATATCCATCCTCGAGGCATTTTATCATTTGCATGAGGCAATATAATAATCTCACATATATCTTTGTACTTTTCTTGATTTATATTCTCAGTAATTCTATGGAGCAGACTAACTTCATCTCAGCTAAAACATCCCCAAACCATTAAATTAACTCCACCATGTTTTATGATAGGCAGTTAGTGTTTAGGATTGTATCTTGTATCTACTGAATCGTATCTTGTACCTAATGGGCGTCTTGTACCTACTGGATGTAAAACATACCTGATTCCATCTAATCCGAACAGTATAAACTTTCTTTCGTCACTGAAAAGAATATTTGACCATTGTTGACTACTCCACTTTAGATGCTCTAATGCATATTCTTTTGCGGGCATTACGGTTTTTCAAAGAAACTAATGGCTTTTTAGCTGGGTGTCTTTCAAATAAATTTATTGTGATGTAAACGACGTTTTATAGTAGAAATACTACAATTCATTCCATAGAAACGTCTCATTTGTACATTTATATCGACAGCATTCAAATGGGGATTTTCTTTGCTTAATATCACAGGCTTTTTATTCTGATAATGTGTTGTTTTGCATGGCTTTCTTGATTGATATTTATTTTTTGTAGAGCTAGTAAGCTTATATCTCTTCATAATTTTGTTTTACGAAACGAACTTCTATTTTGAACTGGTCTCAATTTTTTCACTTGAGATGGGATACATTTTATTAGATCTCGCAATCTCAATCACTTATAGATAAAGTTTGTAATTTATTTCCACAAAGTATTTGTTTATAAAATCAACAAATTAGCAACTTTGTGAGGAAAATGTTAAGAGAAAGCTTTAGTTTGTCTGCAAACTTTTGAACTTATCAAAAATTGTTATTTTGTAAACTAAGTTTTAATGTTTAATTAAATAATCATTATTTGCTCAAGTGGTGTACGCGCTGAAATATTAGTAAAATTTAATTTTTTATGTCTGTCCGCAAACTTTTGGACGCTACTGTATATATATATATATATATATAAAAGTATACAACAATTGCAAAGGGGTGTAATAAATTAAAACCAAACATTATTATGAACAAATAAAGTACGAGAAATAAAGTATGTTTTATGGTGTTAAAATACTAAAGTAAAATAATTTTCTTTATTTAATTTAGAGCTGTGCTTTCTGCTGACAAAATGGAAGAGTGGTATCCAGGGTGTAAGTCGATTTATACTTAATATAAATTTATTGTATACTTAAAAAAGAACTTTTATCTATTTAATTATAGGCTAGTCTGAAATTATGCTAAAACCTGAATTCAAGCTCAGGCAATAAAGTTGTGTTTTTTTTTCCTGGTGTGATGGATGAATGAAAAAATTAGGACGTTGTTTTATGCATTTTTTTATACATGTTTTTATCAGTAAAATTTTCATCGGTAAAATTATCTTTATTACTTATTATATTTATAAAGCATAAATTTTTAAAATTATTATTAATTCCTCTTATACCAAAATAAAAAAAAAAAATTTATACTATCAGAAAATGAAATTTATACTATACCTTATGTAAAAAAAAAAACATCAAAATGTTTTTTTTTAGTGAAATGAGTTTTAAACTGAAATATAAAAGTATAAGTATAAAATTTAAAATTTTATATTTATATTGGTGGTACACATGAGCTTGCGCCCAACCAACAATCAAAACTGTTTGATGTTTTTTGGATGACATTTTCAAATCTTTAATGTTTCTGCATTGTTATTTTTATTTTTATTTTTCGTCTAATAATTTTTACCCAGTTTTTTACCCAGTATTTTAATTAATTATTACCCAGTACAATTAATTTTAAATTTAATACTTTTAAAATTAATTTTAATTACCCAGTACTTTGCAATAATTTTTAATACTGGGCAATTTGGAGGATTTGCTATTTTAGACGGCTTTCAGGTCATTTTTTTATACCATACCATTGCCAATTTGCTATAATGACTTGATGATAAATCCAACCAGAACACATTATGTTTATTATGTTATTTAGTAAAAAAACGTTTTTTTTAACATACTTTAACATATATTTTACCAAAAAGGTGTGGACTCAGAAATATAGGGTGCTGATCTTTTATCATACCTGCAAATAACTTGCCAAAATCAAAACTTTTTTAGCAAACATTTTTTGTGTATTAAAAATTCTTATCTGCATTTCCTCTATATTTGGAATTATTATAGACAGCACCAGGAATTTGCTGATGATCATACTTCATATAAGTTTCATCATCTTCAATAACTCAGAAGTTTTTTTAAATTTTTTTATATTTTTTTGTATATTGTATTTAGAAATATATTTGTCACACAACTTTCCTCAGTGGGTTCTTGCTTTTTTTTTTTGATTTTCAGAACAGTTAGGCACTTTTTTGTGATTTGAAAGCTTGAAAAACATGTTTATATCAAACTTTTACGACGAAATAATGAGATATTCCTTATATTTTTGTGCGGTCCCTTAGTGAGAGGCTCGGATTATTCAAAAAACTATGAACCAGTTTTCTAACTAGTTTTATATCTTAAAAAACCTCCTTTCCTTCATTACCATATTTGCATTTAATTGATTTTGTTTAGGAAAAACCTTCAACAACATGACTAACAATGTAGAAATTTATTTGCAACTTTTTTGCTACTGAATTGTAGCTAAATTCAGATTTTCCATAAAATTTATGCTAAATATTCTTTTAACATCTTTTTCTTTTGTCATTTTTAAAACTTACTTCAAGATAAATGGGAAAACTAAAATTACAAAAAATTACGTGTTTACTCTTTCGTATTTTTATTTTTTGTACACACTTTAGACATTCAAAGCCATGTTGCTTCACAATCAAGACAATTAATTTTCCATTTCAATGAAAAAAAATTCTTTCATTGAGATATACCGGACTTTGAACACTGTTATAAAGGACAGTAAAGCGAAAACATGACAGAAACTAGATTTAGGGGTAACTTTGTGAAAGTGATATACAGTACTCGCAAAACTAGAAGTAATTTCTTTTTGATTGATTTTTTGCTGTTTTTATCTATTCAATATGCAATTGTTGTTTCGTACCATACTGAATGAACAAAAGTATAATTTTTTTTTGTTCTGTCTCAATAAAAATGAATTTTTTTAATGCTATGGTCATAAAATCAAAGTTTGTGGTCCACAGTCTTAAGATATATGTTATTTAAATATAACATTTTGAATCCAAGTCCAAGGTTTTAAATAACACTCACATAGTGTTATTTAAAACTTAATGCGATGATGATGATGATGATGATGATGATGATGATGATGATGATGATGATGATGATGATAGTGATGGTGGATGTGCTGGTAATGGTTATGGTGATGATAATGTTGATGGTAATGGTTATGGTGATGATAATTGTGATAATGATATAGATATTAGGTCATAATGATGATAATATAATTATATTTTTTATAATTTAATTTGTTGATTTGTTAGTATCAAGCAATCCATTGTCTGAAAACTTCCATCCTGCCAGATTTTTGTTAGAAAGACACCTCGACACAAGGTTTAAAAATTTGTTCAATTATTTTTTTTAATTTTCAAAAACAAGTCCAATTTTGCAATGGATAGTACATTTTTGTTATTATAACAAGATTGTTTATAATAATATGAATATATATCCCCTCCCACCCACACGCCACATACGCATATACATACGCATACACATACGCATGCACATACGCATACACATACACATGCACATACGCATGCACATACGCATACACATATGCATGCACATACGCATGCACATATCCATGCACATACACATACACATACGCATGCACATACGCATACACATACGCATGCACATACGCATGCACTCTTTTTAAATCTTCTTGTTACTTAAAGAGTTTATTTTATAAATAAACCATTAAAAAATAAATTTTAATTTAATTAAAGTTATAAAAACAAATTATTTATTGAGATATTAATAAAAAAAACATTTAAGTTGTTTTGTTTGTTTTTTCTTGTTTCCATTTGCCTGATATTAGACTTATGATTCTGCGCTCCTCATGGTTCTTGAGATATTCATGCTTCAATTCTGCTACTTTTTATGCCAACATTTTTTGATGCATGATTTTTATTCATTATTTTTAACAGCCTTCATGACAAGTTTAAATATTTTAAAATTTTATTAGAGCATCATAGCTACATTGTAAGTTATACAATAAATTATATAGTTTAAGATATTTTGACTGTCAAATGATAATGTCACCTAAATTTGACTTTTTAAAAACTTAAACCTCTTTTAAGGGAAAAGTTAATATTACATGTTATATCTTTTAAAATGTAGTATTTTATGTGAAGTTAAATGTTGAGTCAGCATAAAATTTGTTTATTAATTTTTTTATAATAAAATCAGCTGTATCTTATTTTTAAGATTTTAAGATTTTTTTAAGTCTTTTTAAGGTTAATCATGAAATAATATATTGATTTTTTAAAAAAGTTTTATTACTTATATCAAAACCTATAGATAACTGTAAAATAGGTCACACACAGTGTGTGTTTGGGAGGAAAGGGTATGAAAGATAAGTTTTTTTTTTTTTCAAAAATACTATTAATTTAACTTATTAAATTTTTTTTGGAGGTATCATCCTTGTGATTTTGGAGTTAGTGTTAATATTTTTATTTTGGTTAAGTGGGTATTTGGCTGAGTAAGGTAAAGTGACACATTCATACTAATGTTGAGTCAGCATAAAATTTGTTTATTAATTTTTTTATAATAAAATCAGCTGTATCTTATTTTTAAGATTTTAAGATTTTTTTAAGTCTTTTTAAGGTTAATCATGAAATAATATATTGATTTTTTAAAAAAGTTTTATTACTTATATCAAAACCTATAGATAACTGTAAAATAGGTCACACACAGTGTGTGTTTGGGAGGAAAGGGTATGAAAGATAAGTTTTTTTTTTTTTCAAAAATACTATTAATTTAACTTATTAAATTTTTTTTGGAGGTATCATCCTTGTGATTTTGGAGTTAGTGTTAATATTTTTATTTTGGTTAAGTGGGTATTTGGCTGAGTAAGGTAAAGTGACACATTCATACTAATGTGTCAAACATTGAAACATTAGAAAATAATTTTTTATACAATATTTCTGTGTTTACAAATGATATTGCCGCCATAAACTGATGAAGAATTTGATTAGTTAAAATTGAATATAACTATTAACATAAATATTATTGATAGATAATTAATTTTGTTGTTGGGATTCAACAGTTAATGTTACCCTCTATATAGGGTAACATTGACAGTGATATGTTTTATGCTGTAAATGTTAAAGTTACATCATGAGGGGTAACATTGTCATTGAAATTTTGACAAACAAGACAGAGAAAACATTTTTAATGTATATTAACACCAACCTACACTTTGGTTTTAAAAATCAGCAGTAGGCCTATATATAAAAAATTGTAAAATAAGCCTGAAAACATAACAAAAAATTATTATTTAAGGGATATCAATTAGCTTCAGTTCTCATAGTGTCTTGATTTTTTTAATAATTTACTTGAAAATATAAAAAAGTAAGTTAGTTCATGATTACAAAACTGTTTTACATTACAATGTTTAAGAACTATTAAGCCCTACAACATATTAATGAGTAATTTAATAAATGACAGACCCACTGGGAAACTTTGATGGACCCTTGGGTTCTTTAAATGGACTTTTGGGTCTATGGGGTAACTTTGGTATTCCTGTCAATGTTATCTAAAACCAAAATGTGTATATTATAGTAAGGTTTTACTTACCTTTTTTACATAACTTAAGTTTTTTATCAATAATTAAAATTATGAGTAAGTTTTAATTTTGTGTTGTTATTTATGCGAATAAAAATAGCTATATATGTTAATTCAACAGATGGCTGTAAAGTTGTATTGAAAAAAGATTGAACTTAACACATGTAAATGTTATCCACCTGTCAATGTTACCTGTGGGTTTTTTTTAATTTGTATTTTACTTCATTCAAAGGTGGTTTTTTTTTATTTGTCATGTCATATAGGTTTTTTATTTGTCAAAAATTATTTACAAAATGCAATAAATGTAGTCATAGGATAGCTTCAGTTACTTTGTTTGTTATTGCTTCAGTAATTTGATAAATCTTTTTTGATCATTTTTTGCAGCTTTTAATTGCTAGTGTTGATAGTCATTTAAGCCTAATAGGCTAAATAGATTAAAATAAATTAAAGATTTATAGGCTTAAAGATTTCGTTAAAAAATGAATTCTTGTTCATGATTCTGACTATAAGTTTAATCTTGTGATTATATATATTTTAATCTTGTGATTGCTTGTATACTTTGTACCTTTTTATAACAACTACTCTATAGTATCAAAAATGTAAAAAAGTATGTGTAAAATATATTATATAATATATTATATAATATTCACCAGTAAACACAAGACATGTTAAACATGTGTAAAAAGTATTCAACAGTAAACACAAGACGTGTAAAATATGTTTAAATTTTTACATGTTTACACATTATTTTTACACATTTTTTAAACATCTTATACACATCTTTTGTTTACTAGTGAATATTAATTTTTAGCATATACGATTTTTTTCATAATTCATTTTTTTCATAAATTCATAATTCATTTTTTTCATTTATTTTATAAATTTTTCATAAATTTATTTATAGATTTATTTTGCCTTTTTAGCATTTAAAGATATAGTAAAAAAAAAAAAGCGTTTTTCTTACTATATCTTAGTCTTTTTCTTACTATATCTTACTATCTTTCTTACTATATAAAGTATTAAGATTTATGAATCTAGCTTAAAGTTGTATAAAATGTGCTTTTCACTTAATTTTTCTTTATGTTATATATATATATATATATATATATATATATATATATATATATATATATATATATATATATATATATATATATATATATATATATATATATATATATATATATAGTTTCAAAATTTTCATATTGTTCAAAAAATGCTGAATTGTCATAAATCAGCAATAGTGAAACCTGAGTATCTCAAGGATTAACCTGAGGATTCTCAAACTTTTATGTTTTTTCTAATTTTTATAAGCTCTTTAACATATAAAAGTAAAAGTAAATAACTTTTATATAGAAGATAACATAATCCAAAACACAGGGTGGCATTTAAAAAATTTTTTGTACTAATTTGACATAAATGTCCGATTGGTTTCAAAGCCTGGATGCATACTTATTTATTTATTTTTATTTAGTTTTGAAGCTCTTAAAAGTGGATACTATCATTTACAATCTAAAGATACGCGCACTAGTGTTGGTCCTTCTTCATTTGTTCGTGGGAATTTAACAACTATCCTTGAAGCTTTACAGACATTAGTTGGCAAGTCAATTGTTTTCACATAATCTGTAGAGCAAATATCATATTGTAGGCTTGAAAAAAAAGAAAACTGTTGTGAAACTTTGTTTCTTTTTGAGGAAGTGCTGCAAAGTTTAGTGCTAAAAAATATTGCTTTCCAAGACTTAAATTCTTGTTTAAAAGTTTAAAGACTTTTGCATTAAGTTTTTTTTTAGTCTAGTTTCTCATTTTTAAAGCTTCTGGATAACAGAGACAAGGAACAACTAGTAATTCAAAACATTTTGAGTCCTTTTTTTTGTAACCAAATTAAAATAAGTTTTAAAGTTGTTTAAGAAATAAAAAACAAAAAAAAAACAATGGAAAAATTTCCATTGTTTTAAAATTTCGATTTTTACTCTACTTGATTGTTTTTTTTTGTTAATTTTATTTTATAGAAGTATAATTTTCTAATATTATAATTTTCTCTTAAATCTTCTTATTTTATAGAAGTACAGCGGGTAATGACAGCTGATAATAGAGCTTCACCTGGTGATAATATATGTGCAGAACTGCAAGGAGTTGTTGGAAGTAAGTGGTTTTAATGCTGAAACTTGGTTGCTCTTTCCTCAATTATTTTAGTTCCTTATTTTCCTCAATTGTTTTAGTTCCTTTCTCTATTATATTATCATTATATTTTTTACCAATTACCCAATGTAAGTATGAAATCACGAAAACTATTGTGTTAAAATTATCATAGTAATGCATTAAGATGCATTTAGGTTGTGACGTGGCTTCAAACAGTCTATTTAAAGATATTCTTGCACGAAAAGATGAAGCCGATGCAAAACGAAATGTTTTAAATATACTACATAGATTTCGCTTTTTGTTTAATCTTCAAAGGAGTATTGAAAAAAACATACAGCAGGTTTGTACTTTGTTCATTATAATTTAATGTAAAAGTATATATATATATAGAAATACTTAGTAAATACTTTTGTATTATCATGTATAATTTTGTATACTTACTCAATAGATAAACTAGAGCTATATAGTATATATATCGTTCTATTAAGTTGGCATAGATGCATTTATAATAAATTGCTTCCAGTTTAGGATGTTGATTGCTGGATCTCCTGACTCAATGCATGAGTTTTGCATGTGTCTCTGTTTTTATGACTAGGCAACTCATTCTGTTATCTCCTAATGAGGGTACAGCTCTAAAACTCAGTTTTATGGTTATGAAGCTAACTGGTAGTCAGATTTTCTGAACTCTATGATAGCTCTCAGAGAGGCTGATTCCATCAACACTTGTAAAATATCAGAGTACTAATAGTGCTATGTTGTGCATGGGTGGTGTCCCTGGTCGTACTTTTGCTGTGCATCGTTGAGGCCACATTTGGAGCTCTTTGTTACAGCTTAGGGTTTATTAATAGTAATGAGGCAATAGCTACGACTATTATATAGTGTACTCAGTACCATCTGTGCTTTGAGTCAAGTATTTTAACAAATTTAAAAATGAGTTAAGTACCAAAAACTATAAAACACAAAAAACCATATTCATCACCAAGTTCTCTAAATCTATCAGTCACTAATATTCGCTGTCTTTGAAGTCACCTTTCTTCTGTTGAGTCTTATCTCTTGCAAAGTTCACCAGACCATCTTGCTCTTTGTGATTCACTAGTTTGAGTTCAGCTGTCTTCATTGTGATCTTAGTGTTGATGGTTATCTTTCTTTTATTTGTAAAGACTCCAATAGTCATGTGCTTGGCCTGGGCATTTACATTTGTAAAAATTTACCTATTTGTCGAGAAACTAGGTTTGAATCTACAGACTATTTATGTGCTTTGGTTTAGCACCACTTTACTCTTGGCTTGGCTCTAATGTCAGTGACTCTGCAGGCATTAAAACCCACAACTTTTGCCTTTCTCAATCATTAAAGCAAATAGTCAACTTTTCAATTCGCTTTTTAGATAATCTGAATCATTTAGCCTCTCTACTCTTGTTTCTGATCCAAGCAGTGACAAACCCAAACCTGTTTTAGTGCCGCTGGAGCGGTATGGGCGCCCAAAAATTATTTTTTTTTTAAATTTTTCTTTTGTTTTTTCATTTAAAAAAAAAAAAATTTGCTTTTAAATGCAGCTGTATAAAAATTATTTTCAGTTTATTTTACCAATTACATTTTTTCTTCAAGACAATAAAACGAATCAAAAAGCAATTGCTTTCTTTCATTTTATTATGTGACCTTCGGTTACTTACTGAATGTTTAAAAAAATTAATGTTGTTACAAAACTTTAAAAACTTGTTACAAAATGTTATAACAATGCAATGTATAAAAAGTTTGCTTATTTCGAAATTTTTAAAAAACAAAAGGGAACGATTTTAAATATCCATTCATTGTAAAATTAACTTTTGTTTATTGGCAGTTAAGAGTGAATTGCTTTTGATAATAAATAAACAAAAGTAAAAATTTCAGTCTTTATGACTATCGAGCAAATTAAATTTTTAATGAATGAACTTTTGATCTTTAGCTTTCTATTTTAGTTTACAGCAATAGTAAACTAGCAATAGTAAACAGATGCCTGTTTACAATTGCTAGAAACCATTGTAAAAAAGTTTTATCTAATGCTAAAGCCCACCATTCTCAGGTCACAAAATCTCGTATTTCATCTCAAAAATTAGGCTCTTGTGACTTCTGGAGAATCTTTAGCAATATCAATAGCAAGGGTAAATCTGTTATTCCACCTCTCTTGTATGGTTCAAATTTTGTCACCTCACCTAAGGAAAAAGCTGAATTGTTTGCTAAGAACTTCTCATTAATATCATCTTTTGATTCCACTAGTCGGGTTCTACCTGATATAGCTGACAAACAGGTTATTCCATGGTCTTATGTTTGTATTGCTCCAGCTTCTGTATCTAAAGTATTTTCCTGGTTCAACAGCTTGTGGTCCAGACAACATAGCTGTTATAGTCTTGCAGAAGTGTTCTCCGGAGCTGTTGTCTATACTTTCAAAACTATTTAACAAGTGCTTATCAGAGTCTTGTTTTCCAGTCTTCTAGAAAGCGGCATCTGTTATTGCTATTTTCAAAAATTTTGGAGAGCAATCCAACTCATCTTACTTCCATCCCATCAGTCTTCTTACTATCATGAGCAATGTTTTTGAGTCTTTAGTTAATTAACACTTAATCTCTCATCTTAAATCTAATAGCTTATTTTCTGATCATCAGTATTGGTTTCGATCTTCTTGTTCTACTGTTGATTTGTTAACGGTAATAACTGATAGGTTTTATTGTGCATTAGATAGACATTAGGCTCTAGACATTTCTAAAGCTTTTAATAAAGTTTTGAATGCTGGTCTTCTCCATAAGCTTTCTTCTTACGATAAATCAGGTAACATCTTTAAAATTATTGAATCCTTCCATACGAATCATAGTATAAAAATTGTCCTTGATGGACAGCACTATGCTTCATATCCTGTAACTATAGGGGTTCCTCAAGGTTCTATCCTTGGTCCTATACTTTTTTTAATTTAAATTATTGATCTCCCAGAAATTCGCACACTTAAGGTGGCATTGTTTGCTGATGATACTACCATTTATTCTTGTTTTGATAAGAAGCCAACACTCTCTGATTGTTTGGAAGGGGCATTTGAACTTGAAAAGGATATCACTTCTGCTACAGCATGGGGCTCTGAGTGGCTGCTGAACTTTAACACAGATAAAACTGAGTTTTATCTGTGTTAACACTATTACTAACAGTAATAGTGTTTACTTGCAGCCTTTGTTGGAAATGAAAATGTAAAAATATATATATGTTACTGTTACTCATAGTACCAGGAACTAGCTAAAATTTAATATGTAATGTAAATTTAATGTAATATTTATAATAGAATATTGCTACTTAGAGTTTCTTGTGTTATCACAATCATGAGGGAAATGGTAAAAAGTTAATTTTTGATACAAATTGCTTAGTAGAAGTTGTGATTTATATTTGTTTATAAGATCTATTAGGAGTAGAAATTTTTTGTTAGTTATGGTTAATGTTAATATTAATAAAACAAAAAAAGGGTTGCCATTCATTAATATAGGAATGTAGACAGTGTTGTGATTCACAAGCCATTGCAAGCCCCTATGTTATATGTTACAGATCCGATTTAAGATTGACTGCCTGTTCTAAGGGATTTACTTTTTATCAAGAGACAAAAAGTCAATTTGTCAAAAAGAAAAGACTTTTAGAATCTTGAGGTGCCCCAGTAGTTACTGAAATAAAAGAGAGTGTTGGCGTTCAAGGATGACTTAAATAAAGTCATTAGAAAGAAATTATTTGGTAATCTTAAAAACTTTCTCAGATATACCCCACGAAACAAGCTTATGGACAAGATCAGCATGTCTTTATCTAAAGTTTTAGACATGTTAAGAGCAACAACCCTTGCTTTCATCTAATACACAATAGAATTTTTCAGTCACAGCAGTTAGCAAGTCAACCATAGAACAAGAAGAAAACCGTATTGAATGTCTGATAGTAAGTTATTTGAATCAAGATGAGGTATTAGAAATTTGTTGATCAAAGACTCAAAGACTTTGCTAATAATAGAGAGAAGACTGATAGGATGATAGTTGGAGAGATCAGAATAATAGAGAGAAGACTGATAGGATGATAGTTGGAGAGATCAGAATAATAGAGAGAAGACTGATAGGATGATAGTTGGAGAGATCAGAATAATAGAGAGAAGACTGATAGGATGATAGTTGGAGAGATCAGAATAATAGAGAGAAGACTGATAGGATGATAGTTGGAGAGATCAGAATAATAGAGAGAAGACTGATAGGATGATAGTTGGAGAGATCAGAATAATAGAGAGACGACTGATAGGATGATAGTTGGAGAGATCAGAATATTCTCCAGAATATTCCGATCTCTCCAGAATTAATAAAAGTTGGAACCACAGATGCCGTATTCCATTAGGCAGGAAAACAAGATTCAGTCAAGGACTTATGAAATAAAATATATTTAAAAATAAATTAGAGAAAATTGAAGAGAGTTCTGGAGAACAATTTTGTAAAACTAAGACAGGAATAGTCTGGACCACAAGCCATAAAAGAGTTAAATTGAGATATGACTTCAGCAACGAAAGCTGGAGTGATTTGAATGGCAAACAATAGGTTAATCCTTTTAACTGGAATGATAAGAAGAGTATGGTCATAAGATTGAAGAGTCAAGTTAAAAAAAAAGGTCTTTGCAAGATGTTTATTCCTTATTCTTGGAAGATATAATAAGATCAGTCGCATGAATGAGAGATGGAATGTTAGACTTATTTTTGTTAATGACACTGTTGAAGTTTTTTATAAAAGTCTTCTGATCTTAAATTTAAGAGAAGGTATAAGATTTAGTTAACTTGGAATAATGGAGCTTAGTATCAGACAGCACCTTTTTACAATGATTTTCAATAATAAAAAGACATTTGTTTTCAAGAGAGTTGTTCCTGTGAAAAAGATGAAAAAATGGTTACAGTTAGTGATAGCAGCTGCACAAGAAGGTGAAAGCCATGAAATAGACCATAAGAAGTTTGGCTTTGAACCGATTAGAAGGAATAAAGCTTCCATACCTGCCTGGATCCATTCTGTTATGTAGGAAGCATATTTATCAGCGGAGAGAGAAAACACATCAGCTGTCACAAAGAAAATCATGAAAGTAGTTGAAAGAATTATAGAGATCATTGCTTGGTTGGATTCACCTATAGGAAAACAATATATATATATATATATATATATATATATATATATATATATATATATATATATATATATATATATATATATATATATATATATATATATATATATATATAAGTAGGTGTCATGTGGGAGGGAGGGGTGACATAGTGAGTAGACATATACATGACAAGTAGGTGTCATGTGGGAGGGAGGGGAAATAGTTGGCAAAAGTTGTCATAACAACTTTTGCCAACTATTAAAAAAAAAAAGGTTCTCGTTTTTTAAAATTTGCTGACTGCCTTAACAACATTTGCCAACTGACTGTCTAAGTTTACCGACTAACTGGTCAAAAAGGTCTACATTTCCTAACTAACTAGTCAAAATTTGCTAACTAAATGAACAAAAAAATCATTGATGGGGGGGGGGGTCACACACACCCCACACACCCCGTCGCGACTGCTTTATATATATAAAGATATAAATTAAGTTAAGAAATATATAACAAGAGCTATTTTTATATATATTACAAGCTATATTTAGTTATATTACAAAAGGTATTTGATTAGATTTTTAGCTTAGAAATGATTAATACATCTCAATTTAATACATCAATACAACTTAATGAATATAAGTTGCTAGATGTAAGTTGGTTATATATATATATATATATATATATATATATATATATATATATATATATATATATATATATATATATATATATATATATATATATATATATATATATATATACATATATATAATACATATATATATATATATATATATATATATATATATACATATATATAATACATATATATATATATATATATATATATATATATATATATATATATATATATATATATATATATATACACACACACACATATATATACATACATATACATACACATATATATATATGTACATATATACAAACACATATATATATATATATATATATATATATATATATATATATATATATATATATATATATATATATATATATATATATATATATATGTTTTATTATTAGGGAGAATATGAAATTTTGATTAGTGATTATAACAGAGCTAAAGCGCTATTCCAAAACACACAAGTGAAATCATTTCAAAAAGGTTTATATTTTTTTGTTGGTTCGAATCAAGACTGCTATTAATGTACATTAATGCCATAGCAATATATAAATAAATACAAAATATACAATAATATATTTTGTATTTATTTATTTCTTATGATAAATGATGCAATAATTGTAACCAAGGTTTTTTTGTTAAGATTTTAATTAAAAAAAGATTTAATTTAATAACAATTTTTCATTTTCAAAAGAAAAATATTTTGATTAATTTTGTAAATACATAAAATGCAAGATGTGAGAAAGAAGGTGTATGATGTTCTAGAGAGTGTCATACCTTTTTTTTTTTTAGCATATATTACAAATTTATAATCTTTCTAATTTTTTATCTTTTCTAATTCCTTCCTTTATCTTTTAGATAAGTTTTAGATAACATATAGTTTTAAAATTTTCCTCTTTTTTTAAATAGCAGTCAAGTTTCAACTTTTGTTCTTATTACTTGCTTTTGTTTTTATTTTATATGTGTTATTTATTATATTATTGTTTATACTAATGTTTCTTTAACACTGGTTGCATACAAGTAACCAAATTTGTGATTCTAAAAATAGATTGTAAATTACTTTGATTCAAATAAGTACTAAGGTTCCTTTAGTTCTGAGTGGAAAATTAATTTCTATGTTGGGGGTAGGTAGGTAATGTGAAAAAGTCAATATCTGTTCTTATAACATATAATATATCAAGTTATAACACTACTAATTTAATATGCAGCAATACAAATTATGTGTGTAGATAAAGTGGTGATAGGTATGTCTTAATTATGCTCTAATATTATGCTCCAAAACACACAAGGTAAATAAATTTTAAATGCCCAATTTTATGTGTCAATTTTCAATACAGAAATGTTCAAAACAGAAAAAAGTGCAAAGGAGGTATAAAAAAGACACTTTAAAAAATTCTTGATGAAAAAAGATCACAATATGTCCACTACTTAATTCTAATGGACTGAAACAATATCTACTCTAATTTTCTCTATTTTATCTGTATCACCTCTAGAGAATAGACTATATTTAGTTCCTATATTTATTATTGCTAAGTGCTATTTGATATATTAAACTTTATACTAGCTTACTTAGTCAGCAGTATTTTATACCATTTTAAAAACTATTTGTTGCTAATTTAGCAGCAAGGAGGGTTTAGGTAGCTGCATCACATTTACGAGGGTTCAAGGTTTATACTGTACTTTCATTTTTTTAATTATTTTTTTGTTCATGCAATTTTTTTTTCTGTTGATGCACTTTTTATTACAACAATAAGCAAAAAGTGCAATTTTTTTCCAGTCGTGTTTTAACACAACTTATTACAATCATTTATTTTTGTTTTGTTTCTTCTGTCCCCTTAACATAAAGGTATTTTTTTATATTTTTATACATTTGAAATCATATGCGTTACTGAGTAAAAAAATTTATTATGTATTGTTTAATTTCACAAATACTATGATTTAATTTTTTTTTTTTTTTGAGTTTTGCTCACTTTAATAAAAATGACACTTGAATTGTTTAGAAAAAAATGTTGAGTACGCTCATAAAGACTTTTAAAGTTTTCTATGCAAAAAAAAAAAAATTTATACAGAAAAGACTCTGAGTAACTTTTACTCTGAGTAAATTTTTAATAAGCTACTTTTTACTTTTACTTAAGTAAACTTTTCGACCGGTATCTTTTACTTGTACTTGAGTAAAATTTTACCCAAATAACAGTACTTTTACTTAAGTACAATTTTTTTTTTACTTTTTCCACCTCTGTCTGTTGGTTACCTGTATCCAATCATTGTTTTCCAAAATTGTTATATTATTTTCTTACACTATTACTGGTTTATTTATATTGATGTTATATATTACAGCCCTCTGAGTTACTAAAAATGAGGTTGGCAATAACTTGGCGACCTTAATCTGTTAAAGGTCGGCATCAGGTCGGCAAAAAAATTTATACAAAACTTTAACCATAAAACATAGAAACTGAGATCAGTAGTTTTTTGCTAACCTAAAACACTTCTAGGTTGGCGGTTAGGTCAGCATTGCCGAATGCCAACCCTAATTTTTCTAATAAAATAATATATTATCAAATAAAATTATATTTATATTTTATGAAAGCATTGGCTGAAGTTGACAAGAAAGTTGCAACCTTCTCACAAAATTTAAAACACAAACTTTTTGATTTTCCTACACCCATTGAAGAGCAAAAGAAAATTATCAGGTATCAGGATTTTTGTAATTTACATATTTCAATTTTAATATAATCTTTATACTTACATTTAATTTATTTATATTTGATGTAATCATATTTAATATAATTATAATTGAGGTATTTAAATGACCTTGATTATCCTGGCAATGCTGGTCTAGAGTGTATCAATAAACAGGCTTTGTGGATCAAATCAATGCTGCTTGACTGTCAACTTGAGCATCAAAACCATGGTTTTTATTTATTTATTTTGTTATAGTTTCATTTTATAAATATATATATATATATATATATATATATATATATATATATATATATATATATATATATATATATATATATATATATATATATATATACATATATATATATATATATATATATATATATATATATATATATATATATATATATATATATATATATATATATATATATATATATATATATATATATATATATGTATGGATATATATATATATATATATATATATATATATATATATATATATATATATATATATATGATATATATATATATATATATATATATATATATATATATATATATATATATATATATATATATATATATGTATATATATATATATGTATATATATATATATGTATATATATATATATATATATATATATATATATATATATATATATATATATATATATATATATATATATATATATATATATATATATATATATATATATATATATATAATCATTGGCAGCTTCCTATTTCATTCCTAAGTCACTGGTTGTCTAGTTATGCTTTTTTTATGTATTTTTATTTATAGTTTTACAATTTTCTGTTCTAATTACAATAAATAATGGGAATTATATTGTGATATGTATATATACTTATGTTCATGGCATTTAACAGTTAATACATAAGTAAAATATATGACTTTTTTGCTTTAAAATTTTTACTTCAATTTTCGATATCAATTTTTTTTTAGAAAAAGCAAGTCAATCCGAGATTCGACCTTCTGAATCTTCAATAAAATGTGATTGTTTATTCTTTAATATTTTATGTCTATGTGTATATATGTATATGTCTATGTGTATATATGTATATGTCTATGTGTATATAAGTGTATGTGTATTTGTCTACATCTTCTGTTAAAATCTCGCATATTATGCGATATTATACAAGCATCTCACATTATTTCCTAAATATAAGTACTTTCATCATTCTTGACAGAGCATCCTCTAAATACAAACTTAAAATCAAAAAAAGTATTTATATTAAAGTTGAAAAACCTCTCAACATAAAAGGTAAAAAAACTTATTGTTGGTACTCAAAATCGTCAAAAAAAAAAAAGTTGACTTTAAGTATACAAAAAATGTTGACTTTACGCTACTATCTCTTGAAACAAAGTTTTTATTTTTAATGTATTAATGTTATACTCATTTTACATGTAAAATATGTTTTTAAAACTATTTGGATATATTGAATTATTTTTTTGTTTTTTTATTATTTCATGTTTTGTTTTTTTGTATAAATTTTTTTTTCAATTAGCACACAAAAAGAATAGTAGTGATGTCACTGAACTTTTTTTAAGTAAGTTTTATTTTTAAAGTTATATAAATAACATTTTTTAAGTAAGTTATTTTAACTATTTAGAGCTAAGCTTTTTTTTTATTTAGAGCTAAGCTTTTATTGTCTTGTCTATTCAAGACAAGACAATAAACAGATCATTAAAAACACTGTTTACGAAATGCTAAAATGTGTTTATTATTAGATTTCAATGCTCTTTCTTTTTTATATCTATATTTTAAAAATTGTTTGTGCTCTCAGTTTAAGTGAAGGTTTGTTTGACTGAAAAAAAGGTCTTTTTTAAAAAACAATTGACTTTTTGACTAACTAAATTACTTAGAATTGAATAAAATGGGTAAATTTAAAGATTAAACTCTGTGAAAGGTTCGAGTAGTGAAAACATTAAGGATCAGGCTACAGTGAGAGGGAGAATCAGGCTAGAGTGAGAGGGAGATTACTGAGATTATCTAAGTAGCGATTTAGTAGATTTTATTTTTTTAATTAGTTCAAAGAATTGATAGTTTTATAATTAGTTCAAAGAATAAACTTTTATAATTAATACAAAGAATGGACTTTAATTTTTAGATAAAAGTTAAATATTTTATATTTATTTTTAGTATCATTTCCTTTTCATTAAAAGTATTTACTTGCACTACATTTATAAATAAAACTAATAAATTTTTTGAATGTTGAAAAATGCTTAGTTACATATAATACAACATGGTAGTTACATATACATAAAGTACGGTAGTTTTTTTATTGCCATAATTGCACTTACACATTTGCCGTACTATAAATGCAGATCCTAAGAATTATATTCCTTGTATTGTTTTATTATTGTAGGTGATTATACAAGACAAATTAGATAAAAATTGGTAAGCTTCAGGTATCCTCGCTGTTTGTTAGATGACAAAGCAATAAAGCTTATTTTCTGGAATGTTATTTGTGGATGTCTACAAAATTAGCTTTGTGAGGCTAATTTAAATTAAAAAAAAACTAATAAAAATCAACCTTGATTTGGCCTAATCTCCTGGCTTGTCAGAACTGTTAGTTAATTTAAACATTTATTTTAAACTTAATTTTGATATAAGTATTCACACTTATTTGTTCATAATATTTAAATATTAATTTTCATTATAAATTATAGTGAAGTTTAAGAGTAGCATTTAAGTTTTATTGTTAATCATGATATGAATTAATGTTTAAAATTACACGAAAAAATACAAATTAAAAAAGACTAACTTTTTTGATTTTAGCCTCACTGAATCTTTTTAAAATTGTGTCATAACCAATGGCTATTACAACTTCAGTTGTTTTCAAATTCAAATATTTTTCAATCTTTCAAACAAATTATACCAATATTTTTGAGATTTCCAAATCAATCTCTTGTTTTCCTCGTCTATTGTTTTTTTGCAATTCATATAAAATTCCATCCATTTAGCCATGCACCCCATGTGTTATTGTTTGTTTTTTTTATGTCTATGCAATATCTGACTCTTTTCAGTCACAGCATCCTTCTTTTACCATCTGAGTCTGTGTATGTGAAAAAAGTCTACAAGGAAAGCAATAAACTTTATCTTTAGACAAAGAGTAAACTAACCATCTGCTGTGTTGATTTTTATTGTTTTCGCATAAAATGAATTTTAAAAAAATGTCTGTTATTTTTGTCTTAGGGGTAACTTTCATCAAGATTTTGATGGAGACTGTTTTGAATTATGTCATTACGCTAAGAGTTCATTATTGGAAATATTTATTTTCCTGCATCTAAGTTTATAAATGAATTGACTAAATTAATTACTTGCTCTTGATTTACTGAGTCACAAATCTTATCAATTTTCAAGTCTTTATTGCAATCAATTTCTTGCGTCACAGCTGATACATTCGGTTCTGAAGCTGGTTCTGTTTCAGAAATCAAAGAAACTTGGTAAGAGATTCATCAGAAGACTCGGGAGCAGTAATGAGATGTTTCAGCAGTTGAAAGAAATTGTTTAAAAAATTCATCATACTGGAACTCATAGCTTGGTTTGATTTCTCTGTTTCAGTCTTTCTTTTTCTTTTCAATGCACCAGTTTCTTATTTTCTTCCTATATCTGTCTCTTCTTAGTTTTCCAGACATGATTTTAGACTTTTTTAATTGGACTAATGAAAAAAATTATAGTGAATTACTTGAATAAATTTTAAGTTTTGATTTTAATTATTTTTTTTATGGTAGGCCAAAATAAAAACATTCGAAAATAAAAAGTAGTTAAAAAGGATTAAAAAAAAAAATAATCATAAAAGAAAATTTACTTGTGTAATTAATTAAATAATGAGTTAAATTTTTATTTATAACAGTTTGTAATATTCGCTTTGTTTTTATTTTTATAACAGATTGTTATAAAATGATGCTTATCACATGCTGAAACAATATAAAAAAAGATTAGAATGAAACAATTGAATCTTTTATTGATTGAAACCATTTAGAATTGAATGTTACATTCCTTGTTACGATACAATCATTTACAATTGAATTTTTTTAAAAGTCAAATTTTTTCAAATTAAATCATAAAAACATGTTACAGTTTCAGAATCTTCTGAAAAAGGTTCCAGAAACTTCTGGAACCTTTTTCTTCTAAAGCTGAAACCTTTTTTACACATCTTCTGAAACCTTTTCTGGAACCTTTTTTACACATCTTCTGGAACCTTTTCTGGAACCTTTTTTACACATCTTCTGGAACCTTTTTCTTCTAAAGCTGAAACTTCTAAATTCTTCTGAAACCAATTCTTTTTTTTTTTTCAAATTTTTTGTATATCAACAAAACAACAATAGCCTTAAATAAACTCTAACTCTGTCATAAATACCTCATTCGAAATATGAAACCAATTCTTCTAAAGCTGAAACTTCTAAATTTGAATTTGTTAATTAAATGAAAGTATTAATCTATAATGCTCTTATATTAAAAAAATGTTCTTTTATCAATAATATGCAGTTTTTTGACAATACCGTTCTAGAACATTTTAATAAATTTGATTCTATCATTAAACACCTTTAAAATAACAAATTCAATTTTTAAAACTTTGGCTCTAAATGTATTTGCTTCTAAATGAACCGGCTATGATAATTAATTCTGCTAATAATTAATTTTCTTCTGCACTTGGTCCACAAACAACCTGTTCAACAGACAACCTGGTCCAACACAGAAAACAAACTAAGAAATGTAAAAATCAGTTATAATTAATATATAATATGTAAATTTTCAATAAATTTACATATTGTATATTAATTATAACTGAGTTTTTTTTAATTGCAAGGCCCCCTTTAGCGCGAGGCTTTAATGCCACTCTTGTTTCATACAGTGAGTGCTTAATCGTGTGGCTCAAATGATCATTAGCAACAGTAGTTACACCAGATATTGATAGTTGGGTCAATTAGCAGTTGGTAGTGCATGACACATTGCAAATTCATAACACTTTGAATATGTTTTGTAAATAGTTTTCTTTTATTTTGACTCAAAGCTCATTAAAGTTTCAAAAAGTTAAAATGGAATTAAAAAAATCTCTATTAACTGTACAAATAAAGGTTGTTTCATTTTAAAAGCAACTCGATGTTGCACTTTTTGGGTATTCCGGCTAAAGAAACACATACTGGATGCTAAATTCAGCGTTTTCTCATAATTAAAGTTTTTATTAAAATTACTAATTAAAATGCTTTAACCAGATCTGTATATGTAAAAATTGTGTTGTATATATGTAAAGCCATAATTATTTATGCTACGGTTTGTTAAGGTTTTTTTAACAAAGTGTTTTATTGTATGACTATTAAGAGACATCTTGATTAATTTGTAAATAAATGTTAAAGAGTTTAAATATAAAATTAATATAAAAAAATAATAAAAAATCTATAACCTATAAGTAGACAAATTACTTATCTGTTGTTGCTTAAATTTTTTTCTTTCAGAAAATTCTAGAAATCAACTTCCAGAATGTTTAAAAAGAATACATTCTGTTTCAAGTATGTCTTTAAATTTATTATGATAATATTGAGGATTATTCAGATTAGATTATATAGAAGATGGTCATGGCCAATGTAATAACTTGTATAATGCTCATAGTTTTGATCATTCCTATTGTCATCATGATCATCACAGTTATACTCATTTTTGTTATAATATGATGATGATGATGATCATGATGATTATGATTATAATGATGATGATGACGATAATGATGATGATGATGATGATGATGATGATGATGATGATGATGATGATGATGATGATGATGATGATGATGATGATGATGATGATGATGATGATGATGATGATGATGATGATGATGATGATGATGATGATGATGATGGAAATTATTTGTATATTTAAGCTTATGAAGCTCCTCACACTATTTTGATGGTGGAAGAACTATGTGAACTTACATCACGACATGTATCTGATTTTTGGAACTTGGGTCAAGCATATTTAAGTAACCAATTAGGAGAAAAGGTAGTAAATAAATTTTCCAAATAAATATCACTTTTGGTTTAATTAAAAGAAATGATAATAAATAGTTAAGGGTACTAAGTAGTTAAAATCAAAAATGGTGGTTGCTATTTAATTAAGTTAAAAATCAGCATCTTGAACATTTTTAAACCAATCTCTTTTATTTTTACCATATAACCTAGTTTCTATATTATTATGTGCTAATACTGATTGCTTCTTAAAAATCAAAAAATGTATAAATCATATGAGTTAAGGTTATTTTAATATTTTAAAAATGAATTTTTTTTATTAATTAAATTTAATTTACATTTTCCCAATCTGATCAAAAGCATCGACACCCTTTTTTCTTTTTCTTTTTTTTTTTAAATTTTTTTTGTTTTTGTTTTAATTTTGTTTAATTATTAATAAAAGTTTTATAAATAAAAAATTTAATTGTTTAATTGTTAATATAGATTTCTTTAAATAAAAATACTTTTTTTTTTTAGAAAAATGTTGAAAAATCAAAGTTAGAAAAAGAAAAGTTCCAGGTTTTTTTTAAATTTTAGTTTCACATTCATTTTATTTTTACAGTTCAAGGTAAAAAATTGATTGATTAAATAATAATAAGAAATTTAAGAGTAAATGGATTTTGAGAGTAAAAAAAGAAATTTTATGAGGTGAGGGGTGAGGTGAGGGGTGGTGAGGGGTGTGTAAAAACTTTTAAGTTGTTTTACGTTTGTTGTTAACTTTAATTCAATGACCACAATAAATATTGGATCATAGTATCTACATCAAATAGTTTGATGTTGATGTTGCTTTATACAATTCAGTGATTATTACTGTCTTTCTAAGTAGTAAATATTTGTTTTGTATTTGGTACATTTAGTAATTTTTTTGGTATTTGGTTCACTTGATATGTTATTGAAAACCTTACAACTTTATTTTGATTCAATGCTTAGAACAACATTTTGAGCTGAAAGTTTTAGAATTTTATTATTTTGTTTGATTTTTATAATTAGGAGACTGTCAAAGATGTTATTATAGTGTTTTGTGAAATGGTGTATTCAGTTTTACTTCCAGACAATGATTTAGAAGCGAATGGAAAAGTGTTTAAGTTTGTTCTTTTAATTCCATGGTTACCTAGTACCTTGCAAGCAGTAAAGTAAGAATTTTACAAAAATTTATTTATATTTTTTTGTATTTTTGTATTTACAAAATTTGTATTTTGTATTTACAAAAAAAATTTTATTGTTTTTATTGTAACAAAAAATGTTTTTTTCATATAATTATTTTAGTTAAAATATCTTGTTGTACATTATGGGTGTCCTAAAAAATAAAATTTTTAAGACGCGAATACACAAGAAACCAAATTTGGAGCAAATATTTAAAAAAATACTATTTCAAAAAAAAATTGTAAAAATATTGATATTTACCTTGTTCTCAAGCAGCAAAATACCTCTAAAAATGCCCCAAATTATTCCTAAATTATTTGGCTTTGAGAGCAAGGCAAATCACAATATTTTAAAAAAAAAAAAAAAAGATTGAGAAAAAAAGATTTTGTAAAAAAAGATTTTTGCACAAATATGCAAAAAGAGAATTTAGCGCTAGTATGCAAAAAAATGTTGTTGTTTTTTGCATAAATTATGCAAAAAAAAATTTAATTTAAACAACAATTATGTAAAAACCAGGGTACACAACAATCTAAAAAAAAAAAATTGAACCATTATGATCACATCAGAAAAAACATTTTACAAAATATTGAGGTTTACCTTGCCCTCGAAGCCAAATAATATAAGAACAAAATGGGGCATTTTTCAGGGTATTTTGTCACTTGATTGTGTCATTTTTCAGGGTATTTTGTCACAGGGTATTTTCTCACTTGTCACAAGGTAAATGTCAATTTTTTTGGAATTTTTTTTTTTAGTAATTGTATTTTTTTTTTTATATTTGCTCCAAAATTGGCTTTTTGTGTATTCGCGTTTTGAAAACTTTGTTTTTTTGAACACCCCTATTGTACATATTATAAGATATAAGGCATAATAAGTGATAATTTAATCTCTTTAATGATATTTCAAATTATTTATTCAAAAGCTATAAAATATTGTTTGTGTATTCCATAAAAGTTCATTGATTTTTAATTGGTTAAAAAATATTTTTGCATGTTAAACAAATCTGCATTTAATTGAATTTGTCTGGACCCGTAAAATCTGAGTCTTTACCTAACTGATTATTTCTATACTTGTCTATTTTACACTGATTGTTCTATACTTATTCCTATTTTACTATATTATATTAATTTATTCTTTATTATTTATTGTTATATACTTATTCCTATATTATATTATTATATTCTTTATTATTTATTGTTATATTCTTATTCCTATATTATATATTATATTATCATATTCTTTGTTATTAATTGTTATATACTTGTTTCTATATTATATATTATATTATTATGTTTTTTATTATTATTTGTTCTACACTTATTTCTATATTATATATTATATTATTATTATTTATACTTTTTCCTATTTTACTTCAATACTTTCTAAAACATTTCATTTTCTAGTAAAACATTTCATTTTAAAAAGTTGCTTTAAGATAATAAAAAATTAACATACTTAAAAAAGTTGCTTTAAGGTATTAAAAAATTAACATACTTAAAAAAGTTGCTTTAAGGTAATAAAAAATTAACATGCTTAAAAAAGTTGCTTTAAGGTAATAAAAAATTAACATACTTAAAAAAGTTGCTTTAAGGTAATAAAAAATTGACATACTTAAAAAAGTTGCTTTAAGGTAATAACCTTTTCTGCATATGTAGAGCTTATAAGAGATTTATAAAATGGTTTTCCACTAACATGCATAATAAACATAACATTTCCACTAACACTTTGATAACTAACATTCCACTAACATGCTTAACTTTGATAACTTTTGAAAGTGGTAGAACACTTTAATAACTTTTTATAGTGGTTTAGAACGCTATCAATAGTATTGTTTTGCAAAATCTGCCTCTTAACACAATACATTTTCAATTTTTTTCAATCTGGCTGTTATATTAAAGAGCAAGAAAGACTTATAATTGTTACAATAAAATTTTAAAGTTTTACCTATCTACATGCAATTTTTTTTGTCTCCACAGCAGTACCTTGTTCCCCCAAATTTTAGCCCAAACTCAATTTAAAACTTTTTTATAATAGCACCTAAAAAATTAAATTAAAATTTTTTTTATTGTCTGTGATAAAATGAAAATTTTGATCATAATTATGATGATAAAATTTGTTATGTTATTAATGTCACTAAAAAAACCAACATTTAAAAAACGACTTTTAAAACGCATTATAAATGTATTTCAAGTCAATCAGCACTTAATTTGATGAAATATGGAATACGTTACAATTGGATTAAAAGGTAAAACGCACATTTTGATTGGATTAAAATATGAAACGCTTAGCATTTTTAAATAAAAACATTAACATTTTAAAAATATTCTAAATTGAGTTTCTCCTCCGCTTACGTTTTCATAATATAATTTTCAAAGCGATTAAACTATATGAGCTTTAAACTTATTCATTTTAAATAACAGTAAAATGCATTAAAAATATTTTAAATAATAAAACAAATAAAAGTTTTTAAAACGTAATAACATTATAATAATTGCACCTTATTTATGCTTGCTTATGAAATAATACTCTTTATATTAGTGAGCAAATAAAGCAGGTAAATGAAAATTTGCAGCTAATCGATGTTGATGTTAAAGCTGTCATTTTGTAATAAATGTAACATATTGGTTAATTACTTACATTTTTATTAGGTTAGTTATTTACATTCTTATTATTAATCCCTTTAATTAAAATGTAGACAGGATTTTTAGACCGGTATGCTTAAAACATTTCTGGATACGTCACTGGACCATCCCAACTTATTAGGACTAATTACCTGAGCACATTAATAAAGTCTCAATTATGACATATACACAAAAAAATTTCTCCTGGTGTTTTGATGTTTTGAGAAATTTTAGGCTTTTTTAAAAATTCTCTACCTGCTGTTTGTTATAGTATATAATATCTTTATATATGTTATGTATATCTATAGAACTTCATAAATGTTTTAATTTATAATTTAAAAGAGATTTAAAAATAAAAAAAAAACATGCAAACATAAGGATTTGAATCACGGCGATTCACTTCAGAAATGCTGCAAGCAACTAAGGTGTATTATTTGATGAATGTTTTAACACTATTGCCAAATAAATACTGTTAATCAAAATTAAGGATATGTTGCCACAATGCAATTTTCAAGTAAAAGTAAAAATGTAAAACCTGATATAGTTTTTAATATTACATTATTTGAAGTTTACCTAAGTTGTATATTTGAAGTTTACACAAGTTGTATATTTGAAGTTTACCTAAGTTGTATATTTGAAGTTTACCTTAGTTTGTATATTTGCATACACTTTTGTGCACATTCTCTTTAAAAAAGTGGTGGAACTCCTCGTTATTAACTTGGATTTAATGGCTGCCATAAGTTACATGTCAAACACACACAAATGAGTAACGGCAGCAGCAGTGGCAGTACTAAGTTCAGTATTAAAACAGTATGAGATATTTAGTTTTTCGTTTTTAGATATATTCAATTCTTCATTTATAAATATATTTAGATCAACATTAGATCGCTTGACTAAACTCGGTCTAACTTCAGATATAATTACACCTTTAAACAACCTAACTTCTACACTTATATCTGAATGTATAAGGAAAATTCTTTCGATAGCTATCCAAGGTTAGTATTTTTCTTTGTATAATATTTTAAATATAAAAGAAACTAAACATTGTTTGAAAACGGTATATTAATATTGCATAGATATCAATGAACTATATAAGCGTGAGCTTTGGGACTTGGATTCTAGTGAAGAATGTTATGGTACATCAAAACTGGCATGTTATATATTTTAAATTATTTTATTTTTTTGTTTATTAAAAATATCTTTGGTTTATTTAAGTCTAAAGACATGGTGCTGCTAGCCCATATTACCCATTCAGTTCTCGCTAGTCCACACTATCCATTCAACTCTTTTTTGTAATATGTTTAGATATATTGAATAAGGAAGGAATAATAAATTTGCCAAAAAAAAATTATATCAGAGAATAATAAATTTGTTGCATGGGAAAAACAAGAGTTCAATGGTTTGTGTAGTTGGGTGGACAAGTAGCACACTGGTGGTTGTGGTTGTTGTGGTGGTGGTACGCTATTTAAAATCAGTTCTTAAAAATGTTTATTATGATGTTGGTCGATGCTTTGCAACTATTTTTTTCTTATCAAATTTCATCATAGTTTGAAGATTCAAATAAGTCAAAGTCTGGTAAATTTATAGTAATTTTTGGATAAAACGAGAATGCTAAGAAATTAAGAATGTTAAAAAAATATTTTCTTGTTTTTAAAAAAGGAAAAAAACATTTACTATAAAATAATATGACATTGCTGAGCAAAATTAAATTTTATTTGATGGATTTGATCTAACAACTATTTGACCTTACAACTATTTGACCTTACAACTGTTTGACCTTACAACTATTTGACCTTAAAACTATTTGACCTTACAACTATTTGACCTTACAACTATTTGACCTTACAACTATTTGATCTTACAACTATTTGACCTTACAACTATTTGACCTTACAACTTGGCAGTTAGAGCAGAAGAGCAGGTCCAAAAAAATTTTAAAAAGAATCAGTTTATATATGAACAGTATTCCATATAAAGAAGAATTATAAATTTTGAGGGACAGAGAATAGAATTTGGAATAAGAAAATACTGAGCACGTGAAGAAATGTGTATTATGAGATGTGAAGCAATCTTAGCAAACAGTATTTTTGCTATAGATTGTTTATATTGAAGATCATTAACAACACAGGGCCAAATATGGAATCTTGTGGTACCCCCAGAATTTACTAGAAATGAAAGTATTTTCCATAAAGGGTAACTTTGATACTGCAATTGGAAAGAAGTAATTCAATAATTTCAAAAACTTTTCCATATACATGATATGAAACAAGCTTATTGAGAAGACCAGCATACCAGACTTTTCAAAAGCCTTTGATATATCAAGAGTATAGCCTACGGGATATTTTGAGATCTGCCAGAATTTTCATTTTCAATTTATGTTGAAGCTATATTAATTTTAAATTAATGACTAATTATCATTGGTGGAGTATTTCCACCAATAATAATAAAGCTAATTTAAAAAAAAAAAATTTTAAATAATATTGATGGGTAATGGTTAATGATTGAGCAATAAATATTTAAAAAAAATCAATAAAAAAAATCATCTCAAATCAATAATATTATATATATTATATTACTTATAATTATACACTTTAATAAATACGATAATAAAGATAAAAGTATAAATTTACTGATGGTGAAATTAAAATAAATTATTTTTTTTTTTTTTTTTTTTTTATTTATTTTTATTTTTGTTTGTTCAGTAATTCTATACTGTTTATATCATATCATCAAAAGAAATATTATTTTGTCTTATTTATTTTTAAATATTCCTCTATTAATCTTTATTTTTGTCTTGACAACTGTCAAAAATGCTTTGTCTAATAAATAATTCTCCTTTATTCTAATGTACTTCATTTCTTCCCTCAGGCGTTCACTGCTCGTGTGTGACCATTCGGCGAAATAAAATGCCAGATGCATAGATATAATTCTCCTAAATTAAATACTTTGATACTGTAATTTATACTATAAAAAATGTAACAATTAAAAAATAATAATAATAATAGTTCTAGTTTTTAACTTTATTTATTTTAATGCAATATTTTTTATATATATTATAGCCAGCAATGTTTGAAAAAATTTCTACAGAAACCTTGCAGTTTGTACATGAGTTTATGATAGATACAAAGATTGAGGTAATGTGTTTAATTTAACAATGAGGTGAGAAGATTTACTTAAGAATGGATTGAATGAATGGATTGAAGGTTTTTGTCTTAAGATCAGTAGTGTGATTATAAGTTCAAGGCTCTTCTCCCTCCCTCCAATAAAAAAGTAATGGGACCCTCCCCCTGAATTTTTCAAAAAATTAGATTTAAAAATAAAATATGCAATATTTTATTTTTATATGTAGTTAATAAAACACAATTGAGTTTAACATTTAATATTTATTTTATAATCTGTATAAAACAAGAAACAATTTTCATAAGATGAATGTTAAAAAAACAGGTAAAAAGAAACAATTTCTTAAATATGTTTTGGTTAACTTTAATTTTTTTGCACAAATCGACAATATGATCCAATTGAATCAGTTTATTAAATTTAAGGTTGAAAAAAATTAAAAAAACTTTAAAATTTTTTCCATTCTACTATTTTTCTCCATATCTACTGCATATTTGCATATTGGCAATATCTACAGTCATATAAAATACATGAATTTGAAATCTGCTTTCAGTGCATTCATATAAATAATTTTAACAATTCATCAAATCACAATACGTCTTTTATATTTGAACTTTCTCTTAAACATAAAAGTTAATTTTATCTGCAGTAGTAATAATTGAGTTATTTAAATAATTACTGCAAATAGAGAGAAATAAAATTTGGTTACAAATACCATCTTGTAATACTGTTGCCAAAAAAAATATTTTAAGTTTTACTTCTCTACAACCAGAAACTGTGTCATTTATAGTAAGGTTTAAAATGTGACATAAATGTTATGATTTATTATTATCTTTATTGAATGTCACATCACATTTGCACTTTATATCCTTGAACGCATCGTTTTTAAAGTTTGTTTTTTTATTTTAAAGTTAATAATTAAGTAATTATAATAATTAATTAAATAGTTATATTAATTAAATAATAATAATTAAACCTACTGCTGAATGCTTTTTGTGCTATCATTTAAAAATTTATCTTTAAAAAATATTAAATAATAAAAAATATCTTATTTTAAGAAATTATTTTACATTTAAGAAAACGTAATAAATAAAAAATTTTTAAAAATCTATTTTTATAAAGCAGAGATTATTCCTACTCATATTAAAAAAATGAATGAGTACATATAGTTTGATCTTCATTGGGCCTCTAGAGCTCTAGCTAGATTAGCCAGGGTTCCATATAGATCAAAGCTCCAGGGTTCTATATAGATCAAACTAATTTTACCTCTTCCCTGGCACATTGTCAGAAACAATGTGTTGCCAACAGTGTCACGAGGGTCCTGCCTTGCTAGGTTATGTTCCTCCTAGTTACGTCACTTCTTCAGATTTTGGTAATGTTTTATACTTAGGATATGAGTTACCCATAGTTAAGTCAAGAGAATTTTTTGTTTAAGATTGAGGTTTCCTTAAGGTAAGGTTTTTTTTGCTCCAAGAATGGTTCAGAAATGAGATTTTTGGTGAACTTAGTTCACAAATAGTTAACTTTTCCTTTTGAGAAATAGTTTATAGATCAACTTTCTATTTTATTTCTATGTAAAATTATTTTGGTTTAGGGAGATAACAATAAAATTATTTTGGTTTAGGGAGATAACAATATGTTGCCAAAAGAAATTTCTGCTCTGCTGAAAAAAATGTTTGAGGTATGCATCATTAAAAATACTTAATTTGGTACAAGATATTTTAAATGTTCTAAGCTTAGGTGGACTTATTTACACAGTAATAAATTTAGGTTATTTAAAACTGTGTAAATATTTCTTTAGGGTTATATTTTGTCACTTGAAAAATCTGTTTACCCTGATTTAAATAACAGGTTTCTTCTTTTTTGTGTTTTTTTTTTGTTTTTTGTTTTTTTACCTTTTCAATTTTCAAATTATTTTTTAATTTCTTATTTTTTTAATTTTAATGTTTGATGATGTTATTTCTATTTCTCTAAAAGCGAAGAACAACTTTGTATCCAGACCCCTGATGGTTCAGACTCAATGAAAAAGTTATCTAAAGTTAGAAAAAAATTTTTTTTTTTTTAAATTATAAAAAAATATTCTGTTCCTAAATATTTTTGTTGTTATTGTTGTTGTTTTATTTACAATTTTTTTTTGTAAATTATTTTCTTTTTAAATTAAGGACATGCAGTTATTAGTTGTCCTTAGCAACTGTGAACACTCAAAAATGTTGATGTTACCTCGTGTTTTATCACTCTGTCTTAAATATGGTCATGTTGAAATGGAACATTTGAGAGAGGTAAGCAGTGTTCTAATATTTTTTTTATATCTGCTGATAACACTGGGAGTGTTCTATGTTTAGAACTTTTGAAAAATAAAGCTATTTTTAAAATTGGTCCAAGTGTTCTGAAATGTTTAAAGAAGATATCTCCATATAATATGGATATCTTAAGTAATAAAGATATCTAAAAGAGTCATATTTTTGAATGTAGCTTATAAGTTATGACTTCAGTTTAAATTTCAAAAAAATTGAAGTTTGATTAGTTTAATTAAATTTAATTTAAATTTAAAAAAAAGTTCAATTTAATTTAATTCACACCTAAATAAATAAATTTTAATTTGTTTTATAATATTCTTAAGCTCGTTTGTTTTATCTTGGAATTTAATTAGTTTTGAAATATCTATAAGCTCATTTGTTTTACCTATTTGAATTATTTGTTTCTGAGTTTAAAAACTAAATTTTTAAAAAGTTACTTAATTTAATGTAATTATTAATTAATAGTATTATTATTTAATATTAATATATTTTTAATAATAATAACAATATATTATTTAATGTAATAATATAAATAAATATATGTTTAACTGTTTTCATGTTCAAACAGTGTTTTAATTTATATTTTTGATTTTTGTTCTTACATTTTAAATAAAGAATTTAATTAAAATTTAAATTAAAATCTTTCAAAATACTAAAAGCCTCTTTCTTTTAGTATTTTGAAAAAATACTAAATGCTTGATGGTTTGCACTAGTTGTGGCTCCAGAGATAATTTAAGGACCAGAGTTGTGTGACCAGAGAAAATTTAAGGACCACTTGTTGGTCCAGAGAAAATTTGAGGATCTTGACATGATCTTTATCTTTAATTAATGTTTGAATTATTAAGTTCACATTTTTTTTGATTCAGGAAATTATGATAGCAATTGATAAACTTGACGAGAGAGTTTTTAATGCATATATTGAATCCAAATCTAATACTCTAATTAATGCTATTGAAGAAGGAATGTTTGTTTCTGAGTTTTCTTACGATGGTTTGCTGCCAGTTACAGGTATGAGAGTTAACTTATATATAAAGTTGCTAACCAGATAGTATTTTCTAATCATAATTTAACCAGTACAGCTTTTTATTGCAAATAATACTCAAACAGTTAAGTTAATTAAAAAATTAATAAAATAATCTATGTTAATAGTAAAATATACAGTAATAGCAAATATAAAAAAGTTTGAAAATATATATGAATAATAATAACATATTATTATGTAGTAAACATATACATTACTATTAGTGTAGAATAATAATAACATATTATTATGTAGTGAACATATACATTACTATGATTATTTGTTGACCTTGAACACTTTTAGCTTGGCAATTAGGTAGCTTGGCAGGTAGGCAATGCCAAATGCCTGCCCTTATTCCGAAGGCTGTATATATATATATATATATATATATATATATATATATATATATATATATATATATATATATATATATATATATATATATATATATATATATATATATAGTATATATATATATATATACATATATTTGTATATATATGCATACATAATACATATATACATACATTCATACATGCATACATACATACAAACATACATACATACATGCATACATACATACATACATACATACATACATACATACATACAAACATACATACATACATGCATACATACATACATACATACATACATACATACATACATACATACATACATACATACATACATACATACATACATAGAATAATTGTGTTGATAAATACCGGTATAGAGTCCTCAATACAAAGTAGAGCAAATTATTTTATGTAAAATTAAATAATAACACCTGGTAGTTAAAGAATGTTTCTTTAACTACTTCGAGTTTCATGCCTATGGGGATTATCAGGTATTACCATTATTATCATATTATCAGGTTATTACCATTATTATCATATTATCAGGTACCATTATTATCATATTATCAGGTATATTTAGGTAATAACTGATGGTTGCCATAGGCATGAAACTTAGAGTCTTGTTTCTTTAACTACCAAGTGCTTAAGTACCAACTGCTACATCGACTGAGGGTTTGGGATGGGGCAGCAATCGTTTTATTCATCATTCTTTGTTTGTTTTTTCTTCTTTTTCGAAAAAAATATATATATATATATGTATGTATGTGTACAAATATATATATATATTTGTACATATACACAATTAAAATTATTATTTAGGGGTACGCCATTACATTAAAGATATTATCATGAAACTTATTACTGTTCATTATGAGGTAAAAATTATTTAAAACATTTAAGCAAATTTTCTTGTAAAAATTTAAATAAATTTTAGCAGTTAGAGCAGTATTACTCAAATTTTACTCAAATCAAAATAAATCAACTCAATGATTCAATGATTTTATTTTTAATAGAATTTTATTTATTGTAAAGAATACGAAGTAATAACAGAATAAAACAATAAAAACTTTCAAGTGAACATATAAAAGTGTAACAACAAGTTACACTTTGATATGTAACAACAAATTTTTAAAATCGGCAGCATTTGAGTGACAAACATAGCCAAATATGTTGAATTACTCAATAATTCAAGGCCTAAAAAAGAGGTGAATGATTGAATTCAAAATGTAGTGAGTTTATAGTAAAATTTAAGGATTTTCAAAACACAAATGTAAATCAGGACACTATTTAAGAACCGATTCTAATAATTTTTGTTATTTGTTGTCAAACCTAAATATTGGCATGTTTAGGTTTGACGGCAAGCATGTTTAGACAAAACATAAATTCATATCATAATTGATATGAATTTATACAAAAAATGCTTAATAATTTTTCAAAAGAAAGTTTGTTGGAAATGTTTTTATTTCTTGCTTCAATTTAGGCTTTAGTTCTATTTGAAAACATATTTGTTCTTTATACTTGATATAAATAGATTTTATTAAAAGAGATCAGTAAAAGTAAAAATCACTAATTTGTGAATCAATGGTATACAAGTATTGTGAAAAAAACTTTATCAATTATCAAATGAGACAAATAAGATACTAACAATTTGTTTTGATTTGATGCGAAATCGAGAGTTGCTTAAATTTCCTATAATTAAAGCATATTATTTGAGTCAACTGTGACAGTATTTAGTGTTTATTGTTGTTAGAGATTTCAATTCAAAACAAAGTTACAAAGAAGTTTACTTTTATACTTGACAAGATAACCAAGAACTAATCTAATCCAAGTTCTAACCTAATTGGAAGTGCTGTTTATAATTTTTTTTAAAACTTTATTGAAAACAATAGTTTTAACATTCGAATGCTGTTTTTATTTTTGTGGCAAACAAATCTAAAATAAAGTTTTGTTCTCAAGGAATAATTCTTTTGCATATCATAAAATTATCAAGTGAATATATATATATATATATATATATATATATATATATATATATATATATATATATATATATATATATATATATATATATATATATATATATATATATATGTATATGTATATATATATATATAATTTTTATTCATATATATTTTTAAGGTGTCTACTATTTCATCAATTTTTGTACAGCGTGTCTTCAATATTTTGATAGAAAAAGTTTGTTCTGAAGTGAAGCGTGTGTTTTTAACAGTTAAAAAGTTTTCTGAATATGGTAGTATACTCGGCAATCTAGAGTTAAATGCAATTAAAATTGTTTTTGGAAATTACATTAACCAGTTTGCTGGGTAGGTTATTTAATCTAAAAATAGTTTTATAATTTATAAAGTTTATAACAAATTAAAAGTAATAAAAATTTTTTAAATGGTAGTAAATGTACTATATACGCATTATGGAGAATTACTTTATTTTAAATAAAGTAATTTTTTATCGGTATAATAAAAAACTTTTTTTTTTGTTTTTTTGTTACTTCACTTCCTCATGGCCGAGAAGGCCACTACAGATGAGGGGGCTACTTAACTGTGGTTATAACCCTCTATCAACTCTATATCTCCGAAACATGAACCTAAGTTAACAATGCCGCTGTGTGGAAAAAGTTGAGCGCTGTACTACCAAGAATATATATGTATATATATATATATATATATATATATATATATATATATATATATATATATATATATATATATATATATATGCAATAATATATATATATATATGCAATAATATATATATATATATGCAATGAAATGCAATAATATTTCATTCAGTTAATACTTTTTAGAAACTGTATAGAAAAAGCCATACAAGTGGTTCCTACTATCGAATCAGCAAAAAGGTTTTGTTTTTTCAAGTTATAAATTATAATAGTTTGTTTATAATCTGAGTTGGTATATACTGATCTAATATAATAGTTTAGGTCAGGGTAATAACATCAGTTTTTTCTATGTCTGATAACATCTATCCAACAACATCTAAAATTTCATTGGTGTCTAATAACATCTTTGTAAATGTATATGATTACTACAGATGTAGTTACATCTTTTCAATTATGTTAAGAATAACTACATCTGTGAATTCTACAGATGTTGTTACATCTTTTTAATTATATTAAATATTTTAATATAATTGAAAAAATGTAACTACATCTGTATTTTATGAAATTATTAAATTATAATGGGTTATTTTAACCTGCTGTAGTTACATATGTGGTTTTTTTCAGATGTAGTTACATCTGGAAAAAATTATTAAATAATAATGCATTATTTTAACCAGATGTAGTTGCATATAAAAATTTCTTCAGATGTCATTACATATGGATGAAATTCTTCCAGATGTTATTGAACTTAAAGAAAAGTAACCAGATGTAGTTACATCTTCCTAAAGATGTTATTAGGGTTCATTAAATTTTCAGATGATATTGGACAGATGTTGTTTACACAAAAGTGTACAGATGATCTTGAACTATTCTACAGATGTTGTTGGACAGATGTAGTAATCTTTTACCTAATTTATCACTTCATTTGTTTTATATAATTTTTTTCCATGAAACTGATTATTATTGATTACCGTATTATCATTACCTGATCTATATGAGAAACATATATGACAAACATACATGACAAAGATGCACGCCAGTAAATTTTTTTAGTTAAAATTTAATCTGATCCAATGCATAAGAGACATAGGGTTTATTGATATGGGCCAAAGTTAATCCAAGATTTGGCCTATAATTTTAAGATAATAATAAAATGGTTTTATAGTACTTGGAGTTTAAAAATAGTCATAAATTAAAAGACCAAGTTTATTTAACCAAATCTGCCACTTAAAACACCTATTTGTATTTTTTTTTTAAGGTCGGTAAAACCTTTTTTTAAAGAAAACACAAAAAGTTGGGCCAATGTTACTCAATTTTACGGTGCCGAGTATTTTGATAGGTATTGATACCGAATACTGACGTTTCAGTACCGTGATAACACTAGTAGTTATTGCTGGTTTAGCGCAGTTGTTAAAATATAAGTAAAAAAAAGAAATCTAAAAAATATTGGCAGTACAGACTTTCAGAAATGATTGATCTTTGTGATTTTGGTGACTATTTCAAAAAACAAGAATTTTAACTTTTTTAGTTTTTTTTTTTTACACTTTTAATACACATTTTTATGACTTTTTTTGCAAAATTTTTTGGAAAACTGAAATCCTGTATTTGAAATACTCTATATATTATAATACATATAATACTATATTATAATAATATATATACTGTTTTAATAATATATATTATAATACATATAATACTAAATATATAGAAATTATATATATATATATATATATATATATATATATATATATATATATATATATATATATATATATATATATATATATATATATATATATATATATATATATATATATATATATATATATATTTGTTCTAGTGTTGTAGTAGTTATTGTTAATTTAACACACGTGGTAGAAATCTTGACTACTACGTTAGTCTTGATTTAGTCATCAACTGAATTTTTTACTAAATTTTATATGATATATAAATGAAATGAAATTTTAATATTTATTTTACTGTGCGGATGAATAAGCTTTTATGTAATACAAAATTTTTTGTTTTTAGTCAAATAGATTCTCTTCTTTACAAATTTAAAGCTTCTATGCATTATCAAATCTCAATATTTGGAAGCCCTGAAGATTCGACCAGTTCAGAGGCATACGCTGTTCCTAACACTAGGAGAATCTCTGTAGGAGCGAGAAGCAGAGTATTGAGTGCAGGAGAACGTTCTTTGGCTAATGTTAAACAAAAAAAAATTATAAACTCTCGTGCTTCTCCTTTATCAACAAGTGAAGCTGCTGATAATAAAGCGAAGCCACTTTTTATGAAAACCGATCTTCAAAGTATTTCCTCTACTACCGAAGCTGAAAGTTCCTCTGTGACTAATGACGAATCTGCGTCATCTAGTTTATCTAAAAAAACAAAACGCCAAGCACCGGCTCCGCCATCAATTCTAGTGGACGATAAAAAAGTTTTGACTAAATCAAAATCTTCGTCAAATCCTTTCACCAACTCACTAAATCCGTTTAGTGATGATAGTGGAAACCCATTTATAGATGATATCGAGTCTTCAAACAGCCAAATTTCAACAAACCCCTTTTTTTCCGATGATTAGTTGTCAGCCATTAACTAATAAACAGTTTAATAAATTATAAATAATAATACTCTTTCATTTACATACATACATACATACATACATACATACATACATACATACACACGCGCGATTGTTTTTTTATCTTAAAATGTAAAAAATATTTTTCAAATTTAAATACAGGTTTAATCTAAACAAGTTTTAGTTGTGTTGAATTATATTTAGTATGGTAAACATACAAAAGCGAAAAAAGGTCATTTAATAAAGTTAAAAAATAAATTTTTAATAATATAATAAAATAAAATATATAAAACGTATTTCAGTATAGGCAGTGGCGTAGGAAGGTTTTTAAATATTTAAGATAACCAACTTATAAACAACAAGAATGTTCCAAATTTTTTTACGTTCATATGTATGACAAAAAAGATTTTTTTTTGTGATAGGAGAATGGGAACGAGAAACCCTAAAATCTTAGCTTTCCCCCCCCCCCCCCTACTTCCTGTCCCAAACGTAAGAGCATCAAGTTGATGAAATTTTTTTGTACTATTTTCAACAAGACTTATATTCATCGAGAAATTTTATATTTCATAGAAAAATATTTTAGTGTTCAAATTTATTATAAAAAGTTGAACAAGTTTTGCTATTGATTTAGCGTTTTGCTATTAATTTGCGTCCAAAATGTTTTTAATGCTTTTTTTTTAAGTAAATTAAGTAGTCAAATTACCACATAAATTACAATATAATAGGATAAACATTTTTAATAATGGTTTTTATAATTGTTTAATAACAACTTGAAAATAAACTCCATTCAGTGTAACCTCCGTTTCCTGTGATATACAACATATTATATATACAGCATAAAAAATAATTGTAAAAATCTAAGCAAGGTAACGGTTGCAAGAAGACTTAAAAAGTTGTAGGTTGTATGAATTAAGAATTCATGAAGATGGGAGAGAGTTTCAAAGGGTTAAAGTGCGGGGGAAAAAAATAGACCAGTAAAGGTTTTTATAACATTGCAGAACAAATACAGTAAATGAATGAGACTTTTCTAAATGACGAGCCAAGTGAGAATAAGTTTTAGCTATTGGAACTAGAGATAATAGCTCCTTTGAGCAGCAACTATGATAGTATTTGTAGAAAAGAGAAAGAGATGCATCTTTACGAGGATAGGAGAGAGGCTCAAGATTAGCAGATAGAGTGTGTCCAGCTATGTTTACAATGCGTCAGTGGAACTTGTCTAAAAGAGAAAGAGCGTTGCTAGAAGAACCAGCCTAAATATGATAACAGTATCCCATACAGGAACGAGTAAGAAATTTGAAGAGGTAGAGAATGAATCAGGAGGAAGAAAATGGCGAGCACAATAAAGAAAGGCAAAATTAGCGGATATTAATTTAGCAATCAATTCGCGACGTTAGAATTACCTTGTTCTATCTCCACTTTCTGAAAAAATTGAGTTAATGATAGTGTTGTGTTCCTCAAAATAATGTCTTTCTACTGAATCGAAATCTAACTTATAAGTAAAAAAGTTGCGGAAAAAACATAAGTTATAAAAAAAAGTTTATTCGCCGTCTCCTAACGTTTTTATTTTTAAATCGTTTTATCTCAAAACTAAAAAATGTGGAGATAGAACAAGATAATTCTAACGTCGCGAATTGTATATATGATTTCTGTGAAAAGCAACAATAATCCAAGAAGACGTAAAGAAGAGGACTCAGTGAGAGGGTTGCCATTCATTAATATAGAAATGTCAAGTGTTTTGTGATAGATGATTGCAGTAAATAACTGAATTTTGTTGGAGTTAAAATTTTCAAGCCACTGCGTGCCCCAATCTGACACAGAAATGAGATCAGTTTAAAGATCGTCTGCTTGTTCTAAGCAATCGAAAAGAAAAGACTTTTTGTCAAGACAGGAGTATAAAGTTAAGACATCATCAAAAAGATCTACTTTAGATTTAAGGTTGTTGAGATAATCATTAATGAAGATAAGAAACAAAACAAGATAACCAAGAATGGAACTTTAAGATACTCCTTAAGTTACTGGAAATGAAGAAGAGTGTTGGCCTTTGAGGATAACTTGAATAAATCGTGTAGAAAAAAACAATAAGGCTATTGCTCTTGATATCAGATATATCAGAAGTAATGGCCTTACTGGCCCCCTCTATCTATCTAATGCACAATAAAATCTTTCAATCACAGTAGCTGCCAAGCCAGTCGTAGAGTGAGAGAGTAGAAAAACGTATTGACAGTAAGTTATTTGACTTAAGATGGGATGTGAGAAAATTGTTGATCAAAAACTCAAAGACAATAGAACGAAGACTAATCGGACAATAATTGAAGGGCTCAGAATGTTCTCCGGAATTTTTGAAAATTGGAACCACGGATTCCATTTTCCAGCCAGCAGGAAAATGGAATCCGTCCCCCCCCCTCCCCGGTGTTGTCGGCTCTGATAGCATCAGTTGCTATTGTTCTCTTACCATCGTTGTTTACATTAAACACTATTAACAATCGAAGTTAAGTTATAAAAATAACAATTTCTTTGAATTTATTACTAATATTGCTTTTCTAAATAAGGAAAATGATATTTTAAATTAAAAATAAAGTTATCAAGCTGTAAACAGCATCACGAAATAGTTGTAATATAGTCAATTATATAAATAACTCGTTGTCCTGATATGCCCTTTAAAGTTATTTTACTGAAATTAATTCAAAAGGTTTCTATTGAAAACCAGATTCTAGAAGAGGATAAAAAAATTTTGTTTTTCGCAAACTTACTGTTGTATTTTGGTACTTTTTATATATTTGAATTAATTTTTTTTAACAATAATAATGGACTATAATTTAAAATGTTTTATGAATTTTTTTTCTTTGAAAAATAAAAGTTTAAAGGTGAGATAAATAGCTTTAATCCTTTTGTCTTTTTATGTCCAGCTGTCCCGATATGCCCCACTCTACCCTATGTTTATTTTTAAAAATTTGTTAACTTACTCTCACCTACCTAATTGTAAGGAAGAGTTGAACAACTAAAGGTAGTAGAAAAATTAATAAATTGTGAATGAAGATAGGTGGATATACTTTCGAATTAGCGCAGATTGGGGTAATGGCCATTAGATTAGGGGTCGGAGGTAGCGGAGCGTAGGGTGGAGGTTGTAATTTTCTTTTTATACCTTTTCTAACGCAATTACATTTTTACGCAATTATTATTTGTAAGCACACTTTTATATTTTGTTATACAAATTTACTGCGTAGTGTTAACTGAATTTTGTTTTTTTACTGTCCTATGTTTTGTTTATTGTTATTTTGCTGTATTTTCGTCAAACAATAGCAGTAACTAAATACTTAGTAGCAGTGCTCAAAGTTAGTCAGGCATCTCTTATACAACGGTAAAAATATAAATGAATAAAAATTTTTTTTTTTTATAAATTTTACAAATAAAAATATTATATTAAAACAAGACTGATGAAGAAAAAGTTATTATCTAGTTTGCAGCTCTCAAAGTGAAGTTCAAAATAGAGAAATAAGGATAATAGATGATTTTTAAAAATTCGGTTTCAATTGAGAATCTTAGATTAAAAATCTACAAAACATTTGCAATGCAAGTTTATAAAAACCCTTCTCTGGCTTGCATGCCGTCTTCAGACTTTAAAATTATATCTTGGGTCATTTCGGAAAACTTTATTTCAAATATAGAAAGATTAATCATCCAAAATAAGATGAAATGCAGTTTTAGCTTTGAGTAAAAAGGAACTTAGAATTAGAAAAGCTGTTGATTCATAAGGCATATTTAAGTTTGTTCTGCGTTGGCATATTTTTAATAAGCCAGCTCATCAAAAATGTTTCTTAGTAGTTTTAGGATATTTTTTGCGTGATTTATTTGATCCATAATATTTTTTATTGTTTTTACTTTCGTTGTTGTTACTAATATATATTAATATGTAGGTTAGTTTTGAGCTGAGGTATTTTATGACAAAACACAAGTTTTTTAGCTGTTTTTTTTTTTTTTTTTTTTGTGTGGTGTATACACCATACGTATGGGCGTGTAGTTTATATGGGTTTGTTACTTTTTTGAAAGTTCAATAATTGAATATGTTTAAGTAAAAGATAGCCTTATTTTTTTATCATTTTTGAAGATTAACAATTTACGAAAAACTGCTGCTTTTTAACTGTCCGTTTTGCCCCACCCACTTGCAAAATGTAAAAATTTTGTTAGCCTAGATTTTCGTTATTTTGGTTGTCGTAGCTTATTTTTATAATTTGTTTTTGTTTTTGTTTTTTCGTTTTCTTATTTCAATGGATTTTAGCAAATTTATAAAAAAGAGTGTTAACTATGAATAGTTTATTCGTAATTAGCATTTGTTTCAGCAAGTGTCCCTATATACCCTCCTCTAGCCTTTTATAAGCATAATATTTAATCTTGCTCAGCATTTTAAGGATTTTAAAAGTTCATTGCATTTAAAAGTCATTGCATTGGGATGTCATTGCAAAACAAATTTATTTACGTATCGTAAAAACTTGCCAAGTTGTCATTTATTATCTCAATATAATCTTTTAAGTAGATCTCTTGTTATAAAATGTTATAATGTTATAAAATATTATTTTTAATTCAAGCTGGTGGCATTTACGTAAAACATAAGTTATATTAAAAATATCATATGCTTATAAAAAAATCATGTAGAGTATTACAATATGCACGACTTGCATTCGTTTGTTCAATTGAAATACGCAATTATTAATAATATGGAAGTATTTTAATTTAAAAACAAATTTAAAAACAGATCTGATATAATGGAAATTTCGTTTTTTTTTTAATTTAAATAATTTAGAGATAATTTCTGATAATTTCAAATAATTCTAAGTTTTTCCAAAATTCAGCAAAACTTAGACGTCTTTTTCTTGGCAAATTTTTAATGGTACCCATTTTTTAAATATTTTCTAATGGTGTTTCCTACACTATTTGGCTTAACACATGCTATTTTAGAAATAATTTCATAACCTTTTCCATCTTTATATTGTCCAAGGATTAATTTTTTAAAATTGATTTTCATGCTTTTAGAATATGATTATCACCAAAAAAAATTTTTATCGCTTATAAATTATTTTAAATAACTTTATTCAACCAAATTTTTTTGATTTTTCCTTCTTTACTACATTTTTGCTGCTATTATTCTTGT